TCTGGATGTTTAGGCGGCGACTGAAAAGAGAGAGTGCTGAGGCTTTTGTCCAAGCTGAAGCCGAAGAAAAATACTTTTTCCTCTAACCTAAGGGTATAAAATTAGTTTAAATTTTTAAGGTGCAATTACGTGATAGGAGTTCAAAGCTTTGACCCATCATTTTGGATATCTGTTTGGACTTCTGCCAAGATCAACTGGACATTCGCCAGGATATTTTTCACATTGTCGAATACTTTCTTCTTTAATGTGACGACTGTTTGGGTGAGCATTCCTATTTTCCTTTTGCAATACTACTTGTGGAAAAACTATATCTGTTGTTAATTGGCATTAAAAAAAAGAAAAGGGAGAAAAGAGGAAGGATATAAGAATCTCCATTTCCTCTCCTGTGTTTCTGGGACCTCTGCCAAAGTATTTGGCAACTCGCCAACCTTCTGACCGCTAGTGATCTAGAGAAAAGAAAAGTGGAACTGATCTTGGCTGCCACTTTGTGGCTATTGGAATTATTGCAACGATGGTAGAGCTGAAGAGATTTTTTTTTTGGAAACACAAGAATCTTTAACAATTTTAAAAATATCCCAAGAGGTGATGTTGAGACAACAGGAAATCTTCTCAATTGTACAAAAAAAGCACTTTGATAAGCTTGATGCTTCTTTTAAGGAGGTGGTGATTGATGTAGAATCCAAAACTGAATAGAATATACAAGAAATGCAACAAGTATATGAAAAATTTGAAACTGTGGATAAAAAGAAACAAATTTGGCCACTAAAGGAAGGAATATTTTTTTTGAAGGATGGATGGATCCTGAATTAACTAAAATTGATTCTGAGGAAGAAGAAACAGTGAAGGTTGATTTGCAGCAAAAAACACAGCCATTGGGAATAAATATTGACCTACAACAAATGCTACAATCACTGAAGATAAAGCAAGAAATAGTGAAGACTGAAATACAGACTGAAGTGGGTTGATTTTCAACAAATAACACCAAGGGGAGAAAGATGGGCTGGAGATGTAAAGTTTAAAAATATTGATTTTCAACAAACCATATTAAAACAAAAGCAATTTGGAAGAGGTGTAAAAAAGAAATCTTAAAAAGGAATGGTATAAATGGGTTGGCATGTTTATTGTGGTATAGAAAGGCTAAGGTATATGATTTTAACTGTGGAAGCTTTTCTACATTTAAACGTGTTGAATTGTGACGAGATTATAAGATAAGATTTAAACTGAACTAAGAAGAAGAAGGAGTCCCCCCCCCCCTTTTTTCCCCCTCTCCTTTGTGGGTGATATAAGGGAAAATGAGAGATTTTTTTCTTTTATTTTAAAAATGAATGACCAAAAGCTAAGTTGTATGACTATTTTGTCTTTGAATTGCTATACTAGAAAATGACTATTATGAGAGTAGGAGGAGCTGTACTAAATAGATTTCTTTTTACAAGCGAGATATATTAAAGATTGTAAGGAGCTGGACTCTTATAAGGAGTTAATTGTATGTGATTAAGTGAAGTGTAAGCTAGATGAAACTTTAATAAATTAGCTTAAAGAAAATTTGTTTAAAAGATACCATAGATAATTGTTGTCCTTAAATAGATTAGATGTTCTTAAAGATGCTAAATGGATGTTAGACATGTGAACATAAATTGGGTTAAAAGTTTTAGTTCTTTTTTAAGCTTGGAACTTTTCTTCTCTTTCACTTTCCTTTTTAGTGGATATTAGACTGGAATACTAGTAAGCAAAAAATGTATTTGATCGTATTTGTAACTATTATAATGAGTTTATCTGTTTAATATTAGAAAAATGAAAAAATCTGGAATTGTGTAGAGTTGGTTAGATTGAAGCTACTATTGAAGAAGAAAGAAGATACTGACTTTATCAAATTTGGAGAGTCTTTATTTTAATATTGGTCAAGGAAAACAGGACTCTGTAAGAAATGGATGGACTGATCTTACTGCAGAAGGAGAAAGAAGATAGTGACTTCTATCAAATTTGGAACCTTTTTTTTATTGGCTGGAGAAACGGGACTTGGTTTAGATCTAAAAATGTTTTTTAAGATTCCATAAATGGATCTGAATATGATTACAGAATGTTAAAAATATGTAGTAAGGGGCTGACTCAGTAGTTCCGATGTTTGTGATGATTGATGTTTTTAGTAGTTTTAAAATTTAATAAAAAAGTACTGCAAAAAAAAAGAAGGTGCAACCCGTCTCGGAGACCCAGGCGGAGTCACTTGCATAGCCAACTGGAGGGCCAATCCGGTCGGTGTCGGTACCAAAGCAGCTGCTGGGATCGATGGGGTGGACAAACCCGAGTCACACTGCTTGGGGTGGTTGGGTTTCTTCAGCTTAAGAGCCGACTTATCCACCTTGTTCTTCTTAGGCTTTTTGTGGCCTGAGGACTTACACAATCCACCATGCTTCCTCTTCTCCTTTTGCTTATGCGGAGATGTGGAGGAGCATTGGCCCTCCGGCAAAGGGGCACCATCAGCTGACGAGCAGGGCAGAGGCATGGTGGAAGATGATGGAGGAGCAGAATTGCCTGCCAGTTGGTCCGATTGGAATAGGGCTTGGTCCCACAAGAGTTTGCACAGGCGGTTCTCCCGATTTTTCCTCCTGTTTAGTAAAGGCCTGACAATGGCCGCATTTATCAGTCCTGTGTCCTTCTCCAAGACAGAGAAGGCACAGATCGTGCGTATCAGTAGGTGACATTTTGGACCCACACTGAGAGCACTTGTGGAAAGCTGCAAGCTGCGCCATCGAGGAAGAAAGAGAAGATAGCAAAATAAGGAGAAAGAGGAACAATATTTTTTTGGGTTTTTTTTAAACAGGGAAAAGGGGGAAATTGAGAAGAAAAACTTCTAACAGGGAGGGAAAAACTTGGATTGTAACATCTAAGAGATAATAGCAACTGGATAAATGTGTACAAACTGAGAGACGAAAGGCTCGAGGCACAGTGAATGGCGGTCGCAAGAAGACTGAGGAAATGGCGGGCACTCCGCCCTTTTATACCGTGGGGGGGAGGGGTGCGGAGTTCCCGCCAAAACCATTAAAGCTTTAAATCTTTCCGGCCATAGGCACTGCACAGGCACAGCACCCATATGCATGATACACAGAGGCCACGATGAAGAACAAGCAAATCAGAGGCAGGGGCTTCAGTACAACATAGCAATAAAGTCTTTGTCCTTGCATGCCTGTTCAAAGGATTCTGAAGTACAGGCTACCTACCCACTGTCTGCAATTCTGTACATATTACCTAAACTCCTTACGTGCAAATATTCAAGGTGTGTGATTCAGGATTCTAAAGAGTTGCGAGCACATATTATAAATATAACCAACATTTAAACTTTTCAAGACTGAAATGTACATTATATGCCAAAAAACCCAGATTACAATAGGTAAATATGTCTTGAAGGCACATGTCTTCAAGTCAACCTTTCAGCAGTGTACAACAGTGCAAGCAAAAATGCTAGAAGATTCTCAAGGATTAATTCACATTTCTGTAAGCTCTGTGAAGCAAGTATTCCAGCTTATTTTCAACAATCAGAAGCAAGGATAACAAGAACCCATTGTAGAGTGACACATCTTATTCCAAAGACCAAGATTAAATATCTCTTGCTTTTTCTTCTTCTTGTAAAATAATTTTACAACTCAGAACCACTTCTCAATTCTTGGGTTATTCACCAGTTTCAATTTATGTGTACAAGCTCGTACAAGTAGTTTTTAGTATAATCTTTTACACTACACAGTTCTCACAAAAACCTGAACCTAAGCCACCACTTATTATCTTAGGCTACACATTTTAAACATTATCTGTCAGCACCTTATTGTAGCATGTAGCATAAAAAAGCCCTCTCCATCGCCATCTTTTGAAACTTATGTGATAGAGTAGGGATTCTAATCAGTGTTGTGAAGAAATAATCTGGTTGTGGTAAGCATGTATCCACAACAAATGAGAATCAGTCTGATGTATTGTGCATAAACGTTTTAGACATCAATTTCCAACATCCCTGACCGCTGGCTGTCCTGGAAAGCATTTATGGAAGCTGGAGTATGCAATGTCTCATTACTGACCCTTCTGCCTACCCTTGTTGTAACTGATACAGATCTGAACATGGACTGAGGAGACTGCCTCGGCCAATTCACCATCTCCTAGCCTAATCTACTTTACAGGGCTATTGTGAGGATAATGTCAAAAGGAGAACAAGTGAGCCTTGGATGGACAGCAGGATAAAGTGGAATAGAAACATAGAAACTGTGAGTCAGAAGGGGCCTCCTGAGCCATCTAGTCTGTCCCCCAGCTCCAGTCGGCTCCGTCCATGACATGTGCATGTCCAGCCTATCCTTAAACATTCTAATAATATCTTAGTACAATGCAGTACCTATTAGATTTTACCAGAACTGTTTACTGACTTCTTTAATCAAAACCCTGAATGTATAAGTATGCAGACATAACCGCACAGAACTTGTGCCAATGTACTGTATGTTTCCTACTATACTCTCTACCAGTTTCAGTCCCATTTATATACAATTACTACTGAGCAGCAGCAGCACAGTAGACGTAGTGCTTGTCAAGAACTCATGGCTACAGGCAGGCAAAACAACTCGTCACCCCTCTGCCTTCATCATAAATGCTCATTTCCACTGCAGCAATTCACTTTCATTTTAAGTTGATATAAACTCTTAAACACAAGAAAGTTCATTTAACATTCCTCTTATCCCACTAAACCTATATGAGGAGCACAGATCCTTAAAAGCTGCATGAAAATATTCCTAGTATACAGTTTTAATATGGAAATAATATACATTTCATACCATGTTTAACCTGCTAAATAGTAAATCAGCATTGTCCCTTCAATTCAAGGCTCGATTATGCATGCAATGTCATTACAATTGTCAGTACCTTTCAACAGAAAGTGAAGAACTATTGCACCAGTTCTGTCTCCCCCTACAGAATTATGGATGCTATGTCACTGGAACATTAAAAAAGACACCGGAAAAAAAGACCATGTCTCCGTTCGTTACGAGTTTATTTTAGATTTACAGATGAAACCCTTTAGATAAATCCATGCAAAGATTTAATGCATATCTTGGCTGTGTAAGTGAAAACCTTCACACAACAGTATTTTGTGGCTCAAGGGGTCATTCAGGCATGTAATGTCTGGATATATGAAGTGAATCCAATCCTGGAAGCAAAGTTCAGATCTTCTATTTCTTCCGAGTTGAGAAGCTGCTAAACAATTTAACACAAACAGTTACTGTATCACAAGACAATGACAGAAAAATTGATTTCAAATCATGCAAGAGACCTCAATATGCAGAGTCCAGAAGTCGGGCCACAGCCTTACCAAATAGATTTCTTCTCCAAAAGTGAGTTGGTAGATTGTTCTCCTTTGGTCAATGAGATGGTATCCACACAGGGTTTTATACAATATGGCATTACAGTCTTGATTACAGGTGCAATTCAACAATGTAATTAAAAATCAAAATGCAGAATACTTTTCTGCATCATGAAAAATGCGGAACACCCTTCTGGCATTTTCATAACAAAATACGCATGTTTCAAAGAAAGTTTTTGCTTCAATGCTTCAGCAAGTGCCTTCATTTTCCTCAAGTTTTGAACAGGTGTCCTTGCGCTTGTCAGTGTTGCACTTGGAATGTTACTTACAAAAGCTGTGTAAATCAGAAACCGTTAAAAGTCAAAGAAAAATGTAGAAGGAAGACACACACTCCAACTGTAACAAAAACAGAAGTTCAGAGCCCAACTGTGCACATTATAAATGAGAAATTCCACTTTAATTGCAAGAAAGGGAAACCTAATGGTCAAAGATTGACAAGACAACATTTTACACAATGCAGTATGTACAGAGTCTACATGTTTGAATAAGGAAAGATTAGCCTTTGACCAATGTCTGTCTGAGAGCTACAAGATGTTCAACATATTAAATACAAAACAGAGTATGTACAAAATCTCAACAACTGCTATTCAAGCATTTGAACTGATCTTATTGGAACTTACCAAGTTTTCTGTGGAATTTTCAGTAACTTCTGAAGCCAACTTAATGTTAACTTCACATCTACTGTCATTATTTTCTTCCTCTGGCTTAATTAGCTCCCCTCCAGATGTCTGCATCTGACTTTTGATACTGTCACCCGAACCCCCCACTTCAACAGATGTTTTCCTTAGTTCTGGATGAAGGGATTCCATGCATACAGCTGCTTGGTTTTGCACATTTTTTTCAACATAACTCAACAATGACATATCAGAATTGCTATCTTTGCTGACACTTACTTGCAGAACCTCAGAAACTTGAGGAATGCTCTGCATTTCAGCAAGTGACATGTTTGGTTCTGCAATGTCACCATTTGATTCAGGACACCCCATATCTGAGACTATCGCATCAGAAACCAAGAAGCAAATTTTCTTCTCTTGATCGCCAGAGGCTAATGCAATGCCCAACCCACTAGTCTTGTTGGATTCTAAACAAATTGGTGCAATAGTTTCTAACTTTGGGGTCTCTACCTTATTTAGAATTTCAGATGGTAGGATACTCAAGTGTTCACGTTCCATTTCAATATTCCCTAGACTGAAACGGATGGTTTCTAATTCCAAACCTGTTTTCAGTTTGTTAGGGTCAGTAGGCTTGACTTCACCAGGCTTCAGAGAATCTTTGTCATTTTCTGCATTTAAACTCAGAGTAAGGGATGTACGCTGAACAAAGCTAAGTTCTGAGTGACTGGCACTCAAGTCAAAGTCATTAGCTGCTGAGGTATGCAAGATCCCAGTGTTCATGTCTGTAAAGGTAAGTGCCTCTTCTCCAAGATGCCCAACATTGCCTTCTTTTGGAAGAACATTTAATGTTTCCTGGACTATCTCTGGCTGAATGGTGGAAAAGTTAACATTTTCTGTTTTCGTTAAGTTCGTCTCTTCCATGCCACTTAACTCTATATCAGATTCAGCAGATCTCTGTTTGTCATTTTGCAGAGGCATCACTTCTAAACTGCGACTAGTTTCAGCATCATTTGCAGACTTAATGCCCAAAGTTTTAGCTTCCTCAACCTGCAGATCCTTAGCTTCATCTCCTAATGGCTGATTATTTTTTTCATATTTCCCTGATGTGCTGCTTATCACTGTTCTATCAGCAAGGCACATATTTAGCATGTCTCCTGATTTTGGAACACTGACTATATTAAATGCCTCGCTGTCCTCAGGCTGGGAGTTAACCAAAAATTCTTCATTGTTAGTATGGGAAGAGTCCAATTCACCTTTATTTAAAGGACTTGATTCTGGATCTCTGTTCAGGACCTCTGAAGTATGAGGACTTTCATCAATCATTGCTGGCTCAAGCCTATCTAATTCTACAGTGCCCAGCTTTAAATCCAATGATGATTCTTTAGAAGAACACTGATCTTGCACTACTATTTGAGGATTTTCCTCACTCACTTTTGAAGATAAGTCTATAGGCTCACAAGCTACTTGACTCTGAACAGAGATATCTGAAACCAATGTAGATATTGTCTGTTCAGAGTTGTCATCAATTTGTTTCTTTTCTTTTATACTAGGTCCTTCCTCTTCAGCAATTTCAATTTGCATTTCAAATAACTGAGGGTTGTCTCCCTGACTAACTGCAAAGTTATAGTTTGCTAATGCTACATCTCTCTCACCTAAATTTGTCATATATGCTTTCATCTTCAAATCATTCTTAATCTCTTCTAACTTTGATTTGCCATAAACTTCCTTATTCTGTTGGTCTTGCAGCTTCTCACTGATGTCATCACAGCTTGTGGCATCAACATGTTTCACTACTACAGACTCCTTCCTAAGATTAGCCTCCTTTTCTGGCAAGTGGATTGCTAATTCTGTATCTTCAGGAGATTTGAATTCCACCACCTCACTCTCCAATGGGTTCCTGTGAAGTGCTTCCAAAGGTGGGGCATTGGTGTCCGGCAAATGCATAGCTAATCCTGCTGTCTCAAACTGTGGTGGCTTTTTGCTTACATCTTCTAAGGCAGCAGTGGTGTAGTCTAACAATTGAATTGTTGATTCTTGATCATCAAGAGCTTTCAATTCTGCTGTCTCAAACTCTAACGGAACCTTTGGAAATACTTCCAAAGGAGCATCGCTACTTTCAGTCAGCTGCATAGATAATTTTGCTCCATCAATCTCTGGAGGCTTCTTGCTAACATCTAAAGGAGCAACACTGTATTCTGGCAACTTCACAGCCAGCTTGTTATCAACAGAAGATTTAAACCCTTCCATCTCAAAGTCCGATACCTTCTTGTTATCATCTTCTAAAGAAGGGACATTTTCTTCTGGCAACTGCATGGGTAATTTTTCAATTTCAAGACCCAGTGGCTTCTTGCTAACATCTTCTAAAGGATAAGTGGCAAGTTCTGAAGACTGTATGGCCAGCTTGTTACCAACGTAAGACTTAAACTCTGTTGTCTCAAACTCTAATAGATTCTTGCTGTCATCTCTGCAAGCAGAAATACTGCTTTCTGGCAACTGCCTAGCTAATTCTGCTTCTTCAAGCACAGGAGAATTCTTGTTAAATTCAGTGGAAGGAATTCCTATTTTTAGTTCATTCTGAAAGGAAACAGAGACACCTGTTGGAGGATTAGATTCTGAGGCTTCCGATAAGTGTACAGTTAATTTATTATCATTTGGAATTTTAAAATCTGCCGTCTCAAGATCTGTGGATTTCCTAAGGTTGTCCAGTGGAAGAATACTCCTTTCTGGTATCTGTATGGTTAACTGTCCTTCTTCAAGTGCCTCTGGTGATTTCTTAAATTCAGTTGGTGCAGGAGTTCCTATTTCTACTTCATTCTGAAAGGAAACAGAGGCACTTTTTGCAAGGTTGTTAGATTCTGATGCTTCCCTATACTTAAAGGTAGATTGTGTATCCAAAAAGGATATTTTCTCCACTTCTCTCTCAGCACCAATTTTGAGTTTGTTTTCTTCACAGGCTGCTGATGTTCTCTCAGCTTTTAGTACCTCAGTTTCTATAGTCCCATCACCTAAGGGGATTTTGCTACCATCTGAAGAACTGCATTCTTGTGCAAAAGTGGCATTGCTTGGCTTGGAAACCACCAACTGATCTGTGTTTCTCTCTCTCTCAACAGGATTGATTTTTCCTTTATCTGAATTTGCAGAATTCATAAGCTTGCTGTCAGCTGGACTCCTACCACTGCTATTGTAGAAGATGTCATACAAATCTTTAGCATTACCTGCAGCCAGGGAAGAGTTCTTTTTTTCTAATTTATTAACATGGTCTCTGAAAATTGTTGGAGGTGGCAAAGGACGGGGACACATGGGCATTGCCAGGATGTTTTTATCATCCTCAGACACACCAGGAGCCATATCATCTGCCAGGACAACCGTATCTTTTGGTGGCATCAGGGGTGGAGGTGGGAATAATATTGGTGGGGGTCGTGGTAGTGGTACTGTTAGCATCAATGGCGGTCCTGGTGGCAGTGGTAGAAGAGGAGGACGGCGATGCGGCCTTTCAAATATCACGGGCTGCTCACTGATCTTTGCCACTCTTGTAACTTCTTGTTCTTTTGCCATAGCTGCAAGCTCCCGTGCCTTTGCTTGTGCTTTTGCCACAACAATTGCCTGCTCCTGAGCCTTTGCTGCACTTGTCTTTGCGTGTTCCAAGGCTTTTGCATGTTCTATGGCCTTTGTCACACTCTCATGCTCCTGCTCCTCTGGCTGTTCTGGTGTCTTTGCATTCTCCTGTGAGTTCTTTAAAACTACTACTTCTCCCCCAAATGCTTTTGAAATTATATCTGGAGCTAGAACAAGTTCTGAATTACCCTCTTTAACCACAGGGAGTGGCTTGGTGGTGGCACCAGAAGATTTTATGGACAGGAAAGTATTTAGAGGTGCTGGCTTGCTTACTGTTGTTGTTGCAGACTTCCTCAGAACCATCATGGGGACTGGTAAATTAGGTCTGATTTTTGCTTGTGATGAAGTTGAAACAACCGGGGTCCAGGGACTAGTGTGTGGGATAACAGTTTTCCCAGACAACCGTATTGCAATGGGCTTTGAATTTGGTTTTCCAGACTGGGTCTTACTTTCTTTTTCTTTGCTTTCTTCAGTGCTGTCCTCCCTGCAGACATCTTTGTCTTGATTTTTTTCCTCTCTTTCTGCCTTCCTCCAACTGAATTTTCCAAAAGATGACAGTCTGGATTCTTTAGCGGATTCCTCTTTTTTCCCTGCCTTCTTCTCAACTTCTTTGTCATCTTTCTTCAATTTAAGCTTAATCCCACATTTTTGACCATTAGGAACATCTTTCCTTTTACTAGTCTCATATTCATTATCTCCATCTCCCAATTCTTTGGTATTCTTTGTTTCCTCTTTTTTTACCACTTTTGTGGTCTTTTCATCTTTCTCCTCTTTTTGCTTTTCACACTGTTTACGTTTTAGCCTGCGTTCTGTTTCTTGAATAACAGACAATCCTGCTTGGCGATCCAGGTTCCTCCTTTCTTCATAGAGTGGATTTTCTTCCACATGTTTCTGTGGGAAGAGGAAGAAAATTCTGAACAGTTACTCAGTATAGAATTCTAATAATTGCTTTCCCATTAATTCTTTTTTCATCTCTCTCCACATAATACTGCTGCTGGGAAATAGATGGTGGGAGACATTTTTTTGTAAACCCTTGATATTCAGAATCTTAACATTAGGAAAGAATAAAAGACATTTTGTGCTCCTAACCAAAGACAATTTCATTCCAACGTGATGATGAAAAGAATCCTAGTATAATACATGTAGTACAGTGAACATTTAGGGAAACAATTCTGTGGCCTTTCAACAGCGCCTGAGGACCGTATGATTGTTCAGATTCCCAATCCAAGGTCAGAGACAGTGCACTGAGCTTGGAGGAAGAATCAAAAATGAAACTTCTAATTTCCTCACAGCCACTGAAGGAAGAACTGTATTGGCTGGCCTCTGAAGTCAGGAACTCAACCCTGGAGAGGAATAAAGGGAATGTTCTGGCAAGTGGGGAAGGGAGGAGACTGGAGAGGCCAGGATCCGAGTTATCCTGAGAACTCTCTAGCCTCCCTTTCTCACTCCAAAAAGCCTTTGCTAGAAAGTCTCCAAAGTCAGTCTAGTCAAAAATGTAGGTTACAAGATTGGGAAGATGAGGTTCAGGGGCTTATGATCATTCAGATCATAACCTTTAGGAAAGCACCCTAATGTATGATACAGTGTTAGTTAGGAATATAAGATGCTGTTGTATACTGAATCAGACCATTGGTCCATCAACAATTGTTTATACTAACTGGCAGTGCTCTCAAAGTTCAGAGAAGGCTTTCTCAGGTCCAGCTGGAGACTGAATCCACAGCCTTCTGCATACAAAGTATGTGCTCTCTCACAGAGCTTTGACCGCTCCATCCTTCTCTTGCACAAGTCAGGAACAGACAGTCATGCACTTAAGGAATAATTCTCCAAGCATATTCTGGGTACTGACCTTATATTTCTCATTATGTGGATGACTTTTCACATGCTGTTCTGCTGATATCTGGTCTCCAAAAAATTCATGGCAAAGCTGGCAGTAATATCCAGTGACTGGAATAAGGAATTCAGAACCTAAAATGCCCCCAAAAAGAATAAGTCACAGAAATTAATCACAACAGGTTCTGCAGCTTTTAGCAAAAACACAACAGCAACAAAAATAGTAAATTGGAAACAGTAACTTGTCAAAAGACTGTTAGTAGGGAATCCTATGCTTGCTTAACACTCCTTACCACAGCATTACAACACTGTTTACCATGCAAATAGGAGATGATGTTGCTACTTTCCAATCCTTATTAAAATGAAGCACTAATAATCTGGCATAGCTGGTATATGCTACCTATCATCACACAATAAATCACCTTCACATAGTATGCTCTAAGTAGCTCAAGGTAGGAGAAAACCAACATACCTTTGGCAGGAACAGGTATTTTATCAATCCGTTTTGTGACTTCTTGCTTTGTTTCTGCTTGAGTCTTTGAAGCCCAAGGTCTATTGTATGGATCCAGGGTCTATTTGCAGATTGACAAAAGCATATAGACTGATATATTAAAAAGAGAATTGCTCTCTTGTCTCTACTGCAATTTACTGCAAAACATGCTTTTAAAGAGTAAAAACATACCAAGTAGACATGTAGTCTACACTCTCACATGTTCACAACTGAACCAAAATGAAGCTTTCATTCAAATAGTTGACCTTAGACATGTGACAAACTATCAGGGGTGTGACAACCACACCAAAAAGATCAGGACACCTGATTGGCATGGAGGTCCTTGCCATTGGAAAGTTTATTTTACAGCTCACATATCAAATACAAACTGTTTAAAGGGAAATTGATGACTGGACACATACCTGCCTATGCTTCTTATTATGCATATGTGTGAAGAAATCAAACATGGTCCCACAGGTGGTATTGCAATCCTTGCACCAATGGTTCCCTGTGTCATAATAGTCATATATATTGGCCCCTTGGATATGCTGTTTGGATGGCTGTGATGATTCCGTAGGCTTGGGACTCCTACCCTTGGGCTTGTCATTAGTAGGTTTTGATTCCTAAATTGAACAAAAGGAAATATTTCTAAGCTATAGAATGACAGTTGGTACCTCAGAGCCAGCCTCTAGTAGAGACCACACAAAAAATATATATAACAATATATCACCTGTTTGTCAATGCCCAGGATAATTCCACCGTTTCAGTGAGCTAGTATTGCCGACTCAGATGTTGTTCAGTCAACAGGAAAGAGCTTCCAATGAGACTTGGGTATGTTGGCTGGATGGCGAGTGCGTAAATAATCAAGGAATTCAATGTACGTCGCATGGAGTACATGCTGAGGGGTGTGTGTGAATGTATGCAAAAAAATACTTAAATATATGCATAAATGATTTCAGTCAAGGTGCAAAAATACCTAAAAAGTTCTGCCCCTCTGCCAAACTGTGGACAACCCCCAGTGTAAATTTAACAGATGGAGTAAATGGAACTGCTTAATTTTAATGGTGGTGGTGTAATGTATGCTTTTGACAGCTCCTCTGTGCCTATAAATTCTGGAATACACTGTAAGTCATCTGAAGACCATCTCGACACCCACTACCTCCTTTTTAAATGGCATACCTTATGCCTTTGTGAAAGATAAGGTGCTATAGGTTCTTGTTGACACTGTTGGTTCTATGAAAACAAAAGACATGTGGTACAAGCATCCTGTAACAAAATATATCCCTTAGAACAAGGATTTTTGGTGTGCAGGTGGGCCTCATTGCAGAGACTCAAGTCATTGTAGCAGCAGCATGAACTGCTCTCTTCATTCCCTTCCAACCCACAGTTAAGAAGTGACCAAATGGGGGATAAAAGTAGCAATGTAAGTCCCCATATATCAATCAACATATAGAATATAACCTACTGCCAACAGTGTACAAACCCAACCAGTGAAGAAAATCCCTGTTCGACAGGGCTGTGTTTGTGCTGTATGCTAATATCTGTAATTTCCCTTGAAAAGCTTAAAGAAGTTGTCTTCCTTTTCTAGCTTGCTTTTTCCCCATGGAAAATGGACTTTGAGCCCTAAAACTAAGTAGCCTTTAGCTGCCCTTAATTTATTTGGAAAGGCTTTCTATGGTTTATTTATTTACTACAGGCTTTTCATGAATGGAAAGGCTCTGTTTCTTTGTGGAAGAGACTGAGATCCAGTGCTAGCTCCTGCTGGAGGAATAAAGGCTGATTGTTGATTGACCCTGTACCCTTCAATGTCATCCCCGATGCTTTTCAAGAGGGTCTCTCAACCCCACCAGCGAAGCCTTTCAGGCAATATAGGGGCCCATCAGGAGGGGAAGGAGAAACTGGAGACCACTTCTCCCACTTCCTCTTCAGCAAGAACTTTCTGAAAGTGGAGCATCACCCTCACAAACTCTGACTCCAACCCAACCATTATATCTTGCCTTTTTCTGCAAAGCAAACAGAAGGGAACACACATCCAATCTTTCCATAATGTTTCAATTTAAGAAGTCCTAGGAAATATTAGAACAGAGTACTTCCATGATGTTTTGCTGGGAAAATACCCATCCCAATGTGAACATACAGCTGCATTTGCTTGGTGTTAAGTTCTGAAAACATTCCAAAGTAGAACCTCACTTCCACTCTAGTTTTATGTTTTCTCTGCCATGTTTATAGACATACTGGGATCAACAAAAATGCATGCAGTATGTTTATTCTAGAACAATTATCAGAAACTTGATGTCAAATCAAAAAGGCCACAACAATTCCTCCCCTTCATTTTTTATTAAAAACTTTAAAGAAAAATAATCCTACACTGTTAGTGTTTTGCAGGTGCATGTCAAGATCCTGATACCGGTATCTACCTAAGACAGAATTCCAAGAGAAAAGGTAACTGCATTTTTAAGACAGAATACAAATAAGAAAAATAAAGACTGGAATGTATCATATTCTATGCTTTACTCATAGAATTTATTTATTTTATGACTTTCTTAAGGTGAAAGGGAAAAAATCCAAAATTACACTGAGTAACTTCTATTGCTCAATTTGTCCAAGTCCAAAGTCACATCAAGTAATTTCTGTTACTCAGTCTGTGTAAGTTTCCAAAACTGGACCACACAGAAAATAATTCTGAAACAAAAAACAAAATCACCACACAAATTCTAAGTGTGAGATTCATGGTCCTTTAGAAACTAATTCACATCTGGTCTACATACATGTCCTAATACTTTTCTACTCAGTCAGCTTGTTCTAAGTTCAGTCAGTGCTTAAAACGTAGAGAACTCCTGGGAAGAGCAAAGTTAATGATGTCTGCATTAATGAGGTCAAGCATTAGTGATAGCTTAATGCACTGAACTCTGTCCCTATGGAAAGGGTGACAAATGCCTTTAATAGCCTTCTTTTTCCTACAGTGCATACATCTGACAGTATTACCACCTAGAATTTTACCTTGATTGAGTTGGAAGTTCTCTCCTGACTTTTTGCAAATTCTGACTTGTTTTTTTCTGAGGTGTCTTTGTTTTCTGAAGATAGTTTTCGGGATTTTTCAAAAATATTAATCCCCAGGATCTGAGCTACCTTGTCAAGCTCAGATTGTTTCTTTTCTGCAGCATCAGCACTCATCTTCAGTTGAGCAATTTCCTTCACAATGTTCTCTTGTAGTCGGTTTACTTCCACTAGCAAGGGGTCCTTGTGCCCATCCTTTTCCCTACGCTTCTTCCGCAGCATCTCTCCTGAGCCATCAAAGTGGTGGAGCAGGAAGCACAAGAAAATAATGTTAACACATGCAACATTATTTGTGTGAATTAAACATTAGATACAATAACTTGGCCCAAGTGCCAGAAGCTGCATGTGCATTACTGGAAGCAGAACTGGCAAGGTTAGATTGATAACCTGGTATGCCTAGGATAGAAAGGAGCAAACATAAGCCTACCCTTTCTAGTGGAATATGCAGAGCCAAGCCTCTTCACTAAAGAGCATCCCAGGGAAAAAACACATACATTGAGACAATGCAGTACCTTGCTGTTTTGAAAGCCTATTTAACTCAGTCCTCAAATAGTGCAGCTTTTTCTGTCGCGCTTCTTGTTCAGCCTTTAATTTCTCTCTTTCTTCTATTACCTAAAAAGTTTTATGAAGGTAAAAAAACATAAAAATGCCCCTTTACTTGACCACAGCCAAAGCAACACTGCAAGTATAACTACATGGCTTCTAATGTATCTTCTAGAATCTAAGCAATGTCAGTAATAATCTTTTGAATTAGTATCTGATGCAAATTTAACTCTTGCCAGAGATGGCAGCTTATTCCTTATATGCTGTGTCTGTGTTGTTTATTCTTCAAATCAAAATGAAACCCTCATGATGAAGCCTTCTAACTTGTGGAGGTTCATAATTCAAATGCAAACACAAGCAAGTCATGATCGAACACAAAATTAAGCATGCTTGAAGCCATCAAAATCAATGGGCTGAAGTATATGTAACCAAATTAGACTGTGGCCATAATATACTGCAATGTAATAGGATGACTTCTAAGCACAGTTTAAGGAAAAAATCTTGGTTTCCTGGTAAATTTTATTTTTATTATATTATTTAATAAGGTGTCTTCACTCATGCACAAAATGCAATGGAAAATATAAAAGAAATATAGGATAGATCAGGGGTGGTCACACTTGCTCAACTGAACAGCCACATACAATGTCAGATATTTGAGAGCTGCAAGCAGGTGCCCGCGGGCAGTGAGCAACAAGTGGATGTGTGAGTGTGATGAGCAGCAAGCAGGCACCTGTGGGTGGTGGCTGTGGATGGTGAGCAGCAAGTGTGTGCCTGTGGATGCCCATGGGTGACAAGCCATGAGCTGCAAAATAAACTTAGAGAGTCGCATGTGCCTCGAGCCTCCATTTGGCCACCCCTGGAATAGATGGCCATCTCACCCTTGCTAATCAGTGTATTTCACAAAACTGATTTCTTTCACTTTGTTTCTAGAATAATAAATGCTACTTGTAAGACATAAAAAATTAAAAGACCACCATGGTGTTTCTGTAATGAAATATGCTTTATTGTTATTCATAATCTATTGTATTCTCTGAATGTTGTAAGCTGCCCAGACAGCTTCAGCTATTGGGCAGTTCAGGCATAAAATAAATAAATGATCAAGCAGTGTCCTTTAAGAGCTGTTTAAGAAATTATAGTGTTATCTGTTGCAACAGCACCACTAAACAATAGTCAAATACTGCAAGACATGAGAGAAAGATCCTGTTCAAAATACTATGTCAAATGCAAGAAAAAGACATGTTAAAATAAAATTGAAAATACTTTGAATTGCTGGGAACTAGCAACATTCTCTATCAATGAATGTAATCCTAAATAAGGAATCAGTTTTGTACCCAGTGGCATATATCACTACCGGCCATGTAAATAAGTGCAACATCAAAAGCATTATATATATATATTGAAACAATCCAATTACCGGCAATAAGTACACTACAGGAAAAAGTTTGAATATGCTGGAAGGGCAAAAGAAGACTGAAAAATAGACACAGATATTCTGCACACTTATGCCTTTAGATTATGTCCTGTTGGCAAATATTCACCAAAATAAATTTTAAAAGCTTACCTTCTGCTTTTGTGAAGCCCGATTTCTTTCATCTGATATTCTTTCTTTGAGAGAAGGCTGTGAGAACTGGGGGATGGAGTAAGATGCACCAGTGGGGATTTGCACAAGCACGGACTCATCCCTTTTGATATCAGGAGTCCCTTTGCCTGTGGAAACTGTCTCAATAACTCTGAGATTGGGTCGTGTAGGATTTGGTGGCACTGTCAGTGTGACAAGCCCATGTACATCTGAAAGTGCAGGGTCAGCCTGCTGCGCATACATGCGCCAGCCAGAAGCTGCATAGGCCATGTAGTGTCCGTACGCATCATAGCCAGGGGGTGCCATTGTGGGAGAGGGATAGTTTTGTGGCAGTTGAGTTGTAGGGAACGGTGAAAAGCGGGAAACTCTATACTGAGACACAGATGTAGGAGGAGACAAGTTGGGGAGGGGTGGAGCTGATGGAATTAAAGATATTGGTGGAACAGACCTCTCTGGTGTGCCAGTAGGATTATCCTGACCTACACTTTTGCTTTTATTGTGCTCAGAGTTTGAAATAGAGGTTATCTCTTTAGATGGGGGGAAGGAACTAGAAGGTGAGAGAGAGCGCTTCTGGCTTGATTCCGGGGAATGAGTGTTGCTTTGACTGTGACGCCTCTCCCGAGATTCTGCTTTACAAGAAGCCGCTAAATGACGATCAGGAGACCGAGATGGTTTTTTCCCATGGAGTCGTTCCTGAGTACGGGCAGCAAGCTTACCAATTTCAGCCACCCCAATGTCAAGACCAATAGTTTTAAGCAAGTCATGTATCTTCTCATATTCTGGCCTGGACTGTTCTGATGTGTCTGGTTTTACAGGTGGACTAGGACGAGGTGGAGAACCTACTTTCTGGCTCAAGGATTCTCTCTCACTACTCAGTGTTAGCTTCTGAGTAGACGGTGAGTCAACATTAGAGCCATCCTCATCATCACCATAAAGAAATTTTTCTTCATCCTCAATGTCGTCTGGAAAGCTGCGCCGTCTCTTCTCCTGAGAACTTGTAGAATCTGCTATCATACCCAGAATGCGTGAAAAGCCACTCCCATCTTGGCTGACTCTTTCATGAGGAAGTAAAAAGTCACTGTGCCTGTCAACAGGCTCTGATGTTGATTCATGAGGCTCTTTCTGTTTTAGAAAATTCCCAGAGTTCTGTTCAAAAGAAAAACTATTTTGTTGTATGCCAGAATATGATCTCCAATCATGAACACTGCTTTGAGACTCCTTATTGGTAGACTCCGCAACCGCATTTTTGTTGAAACGTTTGAGAAAATTCTCCACTTCCAAAGAAAAAGGAGCAATGCTGTTACGCTGGGGCAAAGGAGGATTATTTGAAAGAAGTGGGGGCTCTTTGACAGAGGTGGGACTGCTAGAAAACACTTCTGGCTAAAAAACAAAGAGAACTGTCATTAGTTACTACATTCCTTTACAAGACTAATATCCCAAACTTTTAAAAGGAAAGTATCTTCATATAAAGGGTTTACAGACAACTGTTTAAAATATTAACCACAAATTGAAAGAAGAGGAAGATTAAACTAAAGCATATCCAGATGTTCCAAAGTATTTTAGAATTATGGACATTCTGTAAGTGGGGAGGAACCAAGCCTACAAGTAATGCCTTTGCTTGACAAAATTTCAACAGATGATGAAAAATGGGTGGAAAAGGAAACATGCTCCCACTGCTGAAAAGCCCAGTTTGATACTCTTTCTTGACATGTTGTATTGATAACCAACACAAATGCCAATAAAATATCAGTCCAATTGCCTGGAAATAACTGTACATTCCATCTCCACCCTACTCTCATTAAGAGTGCGGTGAATAAGACATCTTGGTTTGCCCTCAGTAACACTACCATGAAGCCAAATTGGCTGCACAGCACCACCATGATCATTCTGTGACTGGGAACTCTAAGTATGGTTGAAAAGGAAGAAAAAATTATCAAATGACTAGCAAGGGTACAATTCAGTGTTTATAAACGGTGACAACCATGCCTTTGGAGAACTGAGGGTAGAATTTTGCATCCCCTGAAGCAGGTTTTGCAAAAAGATAATTGTTACCATTTTCAGAAATCAACTTATTTATTTTCTATGCTAGAACTATATAAGAAGAAAGGAATGTCAAGGAATGCAAGCAGCAGATAAAGGTAAGTGTGTATCTGAAACACATATTGTAATACTTGTATTCGGCGCCTTAATTTCAAGCAGAAAATAATTCTGCACGTGATGATGTAAATTTACTGGATAAAATGCCAAATCATCCACTCTATCTTCCATACTGATGTCAATAGTGTTACTCCAATTTCAACTACATTTCATCTAGTAGAACTATGTTAAAATAACTAACTTTGTAACTAAATAGAAATCAAGAGTTACAGCTCTTACAAAAACACTTTTTCATATCACACGTTATTGTATGCTGTTTTTAGTTTACACATGATGCTAACACATGGTTTGCTGCCCTACCAATGGTGTGTCTGGCAGACAGCTGAACAAATTGCAGTTTGTTTTCTTAGTCCCTCCGCCTGCCTCCCTGCATTCCAAAACACCTTTGCGATACTGCAATGATGGCCTGAAGTGCAGCTTGGGTTTGCTTTTTTAAGCCAGCCTCACTCACTGCCTCTGGAGAAACAATCCATGGTGCTAGGTTCACACATGATGATAACCCAGGAATTAAACAATCCAAAGTTCATAACCTAACAACAAAACAATTTCTTTCTGGATTGTTCATGGATAACCAATCATGGTTTGATAATATGGCTGTGTTTGCACATATGGCAACTCAGAACTGAACTACCTATGGTTATGTGCAAACCAAGTCATATTTATTTTTCCACTTTAAAATACAAAAGATCAAATTCATATTTAATAATGTGTTCAATATTACTAGCATGTTATCATTCAGTGAATTCCAGGTTTTGAAGGTATATATAGAAAAAATGGACTACACAAACTTTAAGAGTTATTGCATTTTTGTTCTTAACTTTAATCCACAACTCTACCTCACAAAAATTTTTAAAGGAAAGAACTATGAAGATGTGTTAAAATTTGAGCATAAAACAATAATCTTATTCTGAGTCAATTAGGAGGCAAAATACTACTAGGATAGTATTTCTATTAAATCAACTCCAAAACACTGTGTGCAGTCTAGACAATATTCTGAGGGTGTCTGTTTCATAGAATTATAGTAGAGTTGGAAGGGGCCATGAAGGCCATCGGGTCCAACCTCCTGCTGTTGCAGGACACCAATTTACACCATTCCAGAGATTAACAGAGATGAAGTTTAATATTAAGAATTAAGATCAAATAAAACACAAGTGTAACTGACAGTTTATCAGAGAAGGGAAAGAATACAGCTCAAACCTGGACAGAAAAATCTTCTACACGTTTCTTCAATATAGATTTTTTGGGCATCGCTGGTGCATCATCAGGTCTATAAAGGTATCGAGGTTCAGAAGACTGTACTGGATTGGTTGAGCCATGCATCATGTAGCCACTGCTAGACAGTTCTCGGTTCATGTTTCTGCTCAGTTCCTCCTCTTCTCTTTTCCTCCTAGCACTTTCAAGCTCACGGAAATCCTCATCCAGGTATGTTGGACTTGGGCTTCTACTAAGACTTCGTTTACGATAGTTTCGTGTTGTTGGCACAAAGCCCTGAGGCTCTATGCTCATATCAAGTAGTCTGTCATCTCTGTCATATCGAGGACGTTTTGGTTCTCTCCCTCTATCCTCTGATGAATACAGGGATTTCCTAAGTAGCTCACCACCCCTATCAGTTTCTCTTGGTTGATCATGTAGATGGTCATAGTTCATGCTATAGTCCGACTGGTGGACAAAAACATCCCTACTATGATAATCCTCATCGTGTCTCATACTGAAAGGACTAGAAGGAGTTTCATCACGAGAGGGGTATCGCTCAAGGCTTCGAGGATGTGAAAGGCCTCTGCTAAATATTGGACCATCAGCCAAGTCATCCCTGATGAAAGATGTATATGGGTTACAACATCAGCATCCTGAACTATACGTTAATTATTTTACATTGGTTTTGAACTATAGATTTTTTGTTTCTGGTTTGATGTAAAGTGTGCTTAAATGGGTCTGATAGTTTAGGGATGAGCAAACCTCTACTTAGATGGTAACTGGGCAACATAGCTTTTTGAATTGCACACATTTTTACAGTGTGAGTAATTGATGCGATTCGCTCTTTTCTAGCAACATTATTCTAATTCCTGTAACTGTACATTTTGGGACAATAGGAAGCAATATAACCAGATAAGAAATATATTTCTCTTACCAGTTCAAGAACCTTTTTTTTTAAAGTGAAGGTACAATATGTATTCATTTAATTTATAATTACATTTACTGCTTTTTTAAATGGCCATATGAATAACACACAGCCCTTGAAAATCACAGCAATGTCAGTTTGACAGGAGCCAATATACATAATGACATTCTGAAGATCTTTACAAATTATCCTAATTCTTTGCACAAGATAGATAAATATCATTTTTTAAAAATCATTAAAATAATCAGGTTTTGTTTTATATACAAATACTGAGTTTCTCTTAAAACACTACATTAGTATTAAATAATCCAATATGAACTTGGTTAATATTGCATACTTTAAATAAAGAACAAGGATGGATAGCACTGTGTTTTTTTTTTTAATCCAAATGAACTAATTTTTAATATTTAAAACAGATCTTAACTTTCAAAAATGTTAATACTAAGTTTCTTTTTATACAATAACTAGGCTAATATTAAATAATACAAACACAACATGTTAACCTCTAAAATGAATATGTGCCCCTACAAGATCCAGGCAGTTCTTATATTTAATGAAGTGCCAACTTGCTAATCCTTCTGGTATGAATCCTTACTCTTCCTTCCAGTCATAAGCATTTTATATGCACATGACTGAAAACAACAACAACTCTCTAGTTTACCCAGGAGCTATCAGACCTTATTTAAATTTAATGCTCATGTCCATTTCACTTTTTATTTACTTTTTTTTTAGAGGGATATGGTTAGACCAAAGCAAAGTCAAGTAAAAAAGAGCTTAATTGCAAAGAAGAGAAAATAATATTGTCCAGTGCACAGGTTCCTATAATGTCATACTTAATCTCAGAAATTCTAATGGGAGCTGGTCATAAGAACCCACATGGGACTATTCTAAAGATTATATATTCATAAAGAATAAGGAAAGCAACTAACATTTACAAAATGCAAGAATGGTTTCAAGAATGAAACAACAGTATAAATAATACAGTGTCAATAATTATTTACAACAGCATACATAATTAATTGTAAATTAAAATGGTTTACTGATAAGATCTGCACCACCTGCTTGGGTCACTTGCAAGAAGTGGGATAGAAATCTAATGATAACAATAATAGAGCAGTGTTAGTGGGAAACTGGGTTTAAATTAAGTAATTTAAATTTGCAATTTTTCTTGTGAATTGTTGCTGTTACTATTAAAAGGACTTAAAACAAAGCAAAACCAAAAATGCCTCCCAGCTTTCAGGCACTAAGCAAAAGACAGCACAGAAAAGTCCCAAGTGAGGAAATCCTGGGCAAGTCCTCTAGGGGACTATTCAAGAAGCTCAAGCCACTTGCAAGGAGAGAACAGGAAATAAGAGCACCCCCCCCCCAACCATTTCCTTAAACATAACACTGAAGCCTGAGAAACTTACTCGTATCTGCCATCCTCAACGTCCCAATAAAAGAGGCAGAAAAATGACTGCCCCTTTCCCAAGGAACTGAAGAAGTTGCAAAAGTGGTGGTAGAGTTAAAGCACTGCATCAGTTATATACAATGATATCATTTCACTAGCACAAAGATATTACCACTTGTGGAAAGCCCAATTTTATCCTTCCATGCAAGTCAGATTCAATCCTTTCATTCTGTCTGTGCAAGTTACTGCTCAAGGATTGCTAGTGATGCAGGTCTTTGGGAAAATTTTCAGTCCGCATCACAAAAAGTCTGATGCATTAGAGAACAATCTAATTAAGCGGTGTCAATTTTACTTTCAGCTAGTAAACAACAAAGCTTTGAAAAGTACACCATGGATAGTTTACGGCACTGCCGCTACACTCCTGCTAATTCCACTGCATTCATGAGATCCACCACCTGTGCAACAGGAGCTAATGCTTCTCACAGCAACCCCAGAACAAGCAGAAACACTCATTTCTAGAACAGGAAAAGTCAGCAGAACACACTCCTGCAAGTTCTGCTGACCTGCCTCATTTTGGAAATGAATGCTTTGCTGGTTTCTGATTGCTCCAGCATCTATTGGATTCCTACTGCACGAGAGAGAAGTCCACTAGTGCACACACAACATTGAATATTGTCCCATGCTATTTCTTCTCCTAATACACCACAAATATTTGACCTAAAATATTTGAGAAAAATCGAAGCACACTTGATTTAAATATTTATTAAACTTGTGCACACATAACACTAACCCATGTTTCATTTAACCCAAGGACTTGATTTGCATGTAACAACCCATCAGTTTAAAAGCTGATGGATTGCTGTGCATGAGCAGGGGAGAACAGGTATACTGCATATTTTAATTAACCCCATGTTGGATTAAACTCTGGCTTATTTAGTCACATAACTCAGAAGTCTGGGTTTCAACATCATGCTCTACAAACAATGGAGGAGCCTATTGTGGAGTGAAATCAGAAGTGCTCTGAAGGAAATAAACCTGTTCTCTTACACTTGGGCACACAGACATGGTTTCCTACCCCACCCAGGTTTTAACCCAGTTTGCACAATCACCATCTTACACAATTACCCAGAGTAGTTTGTTAAGAACTGTTGTGTGCCAGGTGTGATTTATATAATACACCCACCAGCTGTAACTTATTGTGTCATCCAAACCTGGGCAGCATGGCTTGCTGGAGCTAGATGAGAATGCTCAAGTGGCCTTTTGTCTGACAGATAATATAATAAACTGTGATTTGTTTCCATACTCATCACTGGATTGCTTCCTTTTTCCCCACTGCCTACCTATATCCCAAACATCTTTGGGACACTATAATACTGACATGTACAGTGGCAGGCTATTGTTTGTTACCATTCTTGCCTGCCATTTCTGTCACCTGGTTCAGCAACCCATGAATGACCCAAAAATTCTAGGTACATCCATAATGACATCCCATGGTTTAAAAAACCCAGAACCCAACAACAACCATGGCTTTTGATCCCAAGGGTCTCATTCTAGGATGTCTATGCATAACAATCTGTGGTTTGTTAACATGACTGGGTTCATACAAGATGAACATGACATCTGAACCCAAAGCTAAACAAAGCAGCCATTAATTTAACAACAAATGGTGGGTTAACCACAGGATTGTTTAGATCCTAGACAATCCAGTGCTCTGGGTTTCATGTCATCTTGCAGATCACAGGCTGTTAAGTAAAAGCGAAACTGGTAAGCATATGGGAGGCAACATGTCAACTTTCCTCCACATATGCATGATAATTTGTGGGGTGTTTAAATTATTGTTGCTATTATGTATAAGCCATGCCCCAGAAGTCAACAACCTATGGGTTAAATACACCATGGGTTAGCATTATATATAAACTGTACTGGAATACTTGTAAAAAGTTAAAAGTCAATCAAATGTATTTTGGTTATATTATTTAAGGGAAAAAACAAGGCACTGAAAACGACTGACATATTAATACATTTCAGCAATCCAAAAAAGTATGCATGATGCAGCCACAAGCTGCCATCTATTTCAACTTTAACTAGTAGCACCTTTATTAGAATCCAGTATCATAATCATTTCTGAAGAACTTTTATTTTTAAGACCTCCATTCCCATACATATGCACACTCTCACATATTTGCTAGGGATGTTCACCTGAAAAGCATTAATTGCAACTCTGAAACTGCCAAGCTTACCTAACATTGTACTTGCAACTGCCATATGTTCATCATTCCTAATGGATTTATAAAAAGGAAATTTTTCTGTGGTAAAAGAAAACACTGGAAAAGTTTCTGTTCTGGAAAGATTTCTACCTCACATCATTTGGCACTGCACAAGAAGTTCTACGAGGTGTTGCACAATTTACAAATCCATCAGTTTTGTTTGCATTAGTTGCTGTTAGCAACTGTGCAAGTAGACAGCAGTGGCTATACCACCACTGGCAGTCTCAATAGTGGTACCTGCCCCAGGAACAATCTCACATGGGATTAAGGAGACAGAAATGGAAGAACATTTCAAATGTCTCTTGAAAATATACTTGTTCACACATGCTTTTCTTAAACACTAAGTTTGCCGTTCTCATAATTCTTATGTTGTTTGTATATTTTATATATATGGATTAATGTGAATAAGTAAGGAATTTCTTAAAATAAATAAGCAGTATAGAAGTATTATAAAGAACACGCTAGTAGAACAACAATACTCTGGTAATTTTCCCTCCAGCATAATATTGGATATAACCCAAAAAAGTAATTCTATATACTAAGAGCAAATTAAATTCTCCTGCTGTGGACACTTATGCAGCCAACAGGGCACCACCCCTACACAAAAAGCTGCATGGGTCCCCAAGGCTTACAGAACTATAAAACCAGGAGCACACGATACTAAATTGTAGGACACTACATTATAATATTTTGTAGCAGGTCCCAGTTGTGCCTTCCTTATTCTTACTCTGGTACTGCCGTTACTTTTCATGTCTCACAAACACACTCTCACTTCTCATATTGCACCTTCAAATAACAAAAATATCAGAAAAACAAAATTAAAGTGGTTTCAGTATAGAAGTGACAATTCCCTCAGGAGCAAAACATTTTCACTTTCAAGACTGAAATATGCCCAGTGATGCGTGTTAATGCTGCTTCAAACCATACAGAAGCAGATAACCAACCCACATTTGAACTAGGAGGAGGAGCTATGAAGGTTTCACTGCTCAAAGGGAAAATATTTCACAACTCTCCACAGTGTTCCTAATTTGGTTTGTTTTTATAAACTTTTTCTACAGATGTTTCTTCATTTATAAAAGCCCTATTCTAAATAGAGTACCGTTGTGATCAATGGCAAACTACAAACAAAACACAGTTCCTAAAATTCAATAACTAAAACAGGATATTCAACGTATAAATTATCAGCTAAATCTTTACATGGTTTTTTTGCACCTGCAGGAATATGCCAGTCTTAAATAACTACTAAACAAGTACAAGGAAATTTACAGGGTCCTACATTTCTCTTTAAACAGTAGTTATTTTCAGAAAGCAAATCAATTGAGTCCCACATCTATTTTCAGTGCTTACTCCTTCAATTCACAGTAGTATCACAGTTTAAAAAATAAAGACAAAGGATTCAAAATCCAGCTTTGTTCTTTTGTCCATCACTTACTTGATCTTATTCATGAATGACAGTCCAAAAGTATCTGTGCTCAAATGTACACTTACTTTCAAGAGCTCTTTTTAAACTCTACCATGTATGTTAGTACAGGACATGCTGCTATCAAGCTACTGTTTTCCATGCTATGGGTCCTTACCATATACATCCTATGTGAGTGGGACTGTCATGGTTCTTCCCAAGTATTTAATATGTTCCAGAGTTTATGCACATTGGACCCTACCCTATTCACCCCTCCTGCTGACAGAACGTCCATTTCTGTATACAGAAAGGTGTTGGAAAGGGTCTGAAACCTCTAGATCAGACGGAGAAGAGGGAGGCTTGGGTCCTGGATACCTGAAGGTGTACCTTCTTCCCTATGTGCTGGTCCGCCTCTTGAGATCAGAGGCAGAGGCCCTTCTCCGGTAACCCTCTTTGAAGGAAATCAGGAGGGCAGTTACTCAGAGAAGGGCCTTTTCAGCAGTGGTGCCCTGAGTATGGAATTCACTCCCCAGAGAGGTTCGCCTGGTACCGTCGCTGTATTCCTTTTGGTGCCAGACAAAGACCTTTTAATTTTCCCAGTATTTTAATAATTAATCTGGTTTTATTAATTATTTATTTTAGATGCAGTGTGGGGGTTTTTTTGTCGTTGTTATGGGTTCTGGTTTTTTGGATCGCTCTCTGTAAGCTGCCCAGAGACTTTTTAGTAATTGGGACAGTATACAAAAACCATAGATAGATAGATAGATGGATGGATGGATGGATGGATGGATGTTCCACTGTATGAGTAGAAATCCATTCATACAACACTGGTTTTCATCCATATTAATATTCCCTATAAGAATGGGCAGACTGTATAGGAAAGACATAAATAGGCCACAAACCACTCTGGGTTCTGCATATAGATGAAGCACATGGGCAGCCTTGTGGACCACTTTATGTAGGACTGTGTGCAAATGAATTCTACTAAATGAGGTAATCTTTATTGTTTATAGCCATAGGCCATTACAAATTTAATTCTACTTCCTCATGGCAGTGACAATTCAAATGCAATTTATAAGGTCCACTCTCCCTGTAATGCTTATGCAAACCTCATGGAATCACAGCAAGTTTATTTTTACCAGTATTGTCAACACTGCTGAAGGATTAGACAATGACCTTGTCTGCATGACATGATAGCCCACAAAGGGTTAATTTAAATTCAAGGAGCTTTGGTGTGCACTGGTCACCATTATGACTATGCAAACCCTAACTGGGGACTGCCTTGTGATCACAGCTGACTCATGTTATCTTAGGGGTGAACACTCTTCACACTGCATTCAAAATAACCACCTATGTATTTGTCATCAAACTAGAATGTCTGAACAGTCTACTGCTCCCAAACACAGCCATAGCAGAAGAAGCTGTAGAATTTAGAACTATATCAGAGTTGTTGCCATTATATGTTCAAACTTATTACTCCTGTCAAATGGGTGAACTTTAAAATAAGGCACTGTGTATTCGATTGAGAAAACATGGAATGCAAAAAAAAAAAAAAGAGTCTTTGAAACTAAATTCAAACTACAAGTAGCTAATTATTTGCTCATTTTAAGCTCATTTTATTTTAGTCTTTTTAGGTCGTGGATGAATCCAATATACCAAGGCAGGGCAACCTGTGGCTTTTCATGTACTGTAGGGACTGCAACTCTCATTGCCCCTCACCATCAGGTATGCTGAACAGGACTGATGGGAGCTGCAGCTGAACACCACCAGTATATTTTCCATATCATCTTGTAGCAAGCTTATAGTGTATTAAATCATTCATGGGACAATAACAAAAAAGTATAACTTGGAGGTGCTGGTCTTCAAAGAGCCATACCTGTCAACATCACTCAGACTATCAACAGGTGAGCCTAGTCTGTCAGATAGTCTCTTCCTCTCAGGTGTGTCAATGCCATAACGGTCATTGCCAACTGTGATCCGCAAGCTCTGTTCTACTGAAGATTCAGAGTGTCGACTTGGAGAGTGCCGGCTTGGAGAATGTGAATGCCGGCCCGGAGAGCGCCGGCCTGGAGAGCGTGAATGGCGGGTTGGAGAGCGCCGGCCTGGAGAATGTGAACATGGAGAACGTGAGCGCCGGCGTGGAGAATGTGAGCGCCAGCCTGGAGAACGCCTCTGGGATTGAAAAAGAAAATGCAATTTCATTATACCAACTGTTCTTTTATCAACACTGGAATCAGAACTCTTCCAACATAGCCAAATAAATTACAATGGAGGTACAGGGTACTATTTAAAAAAAGAAGGCAATTCCACTGTAGCACACATATTTTACTGTAAATCAATGCCAGATGAAAACACCCAGAGCTATATCTAATTAGTATCACCTGCACAAAAGACATATAAGACTAAATGTACACACAGGAAATAGAAGATAATTTCAAATTGTACAAAAGCATTTTCCGGTACTGTATTTTTCCACAGAAAACTCTCCATTTCTATCATCACCTTCCATTTAGGAAGTTAACATTTCATAAAATCAACTATTAGCATAATGGAGGGATACACGGAACTCAAGAGTTGTAATACTTCAGTTAGCTGTCTGTTTCTTGAAAGTTAAATTATCCCCCCCAAACACTCACACGAACTCTATATATCCATGCATGTGTATATGAACACACATATATACTGGCTAAATTCAAAACAAAAATACACATAAACCCCCCATGCCACCTATTGATTGGCAAACCTGGGTGTGTGCATGTGCATATGAACAGGCTAAATTAAAAATTAAAAAATGATACATAGTCCAAATAATCTAAATCAGATTCAGATCAATGTAGGGGATGTGAAAAATATGGAAATAACATTTTTTCTGGAAAACTCACATACTATCATGGCAAAGGACAAGGCAGCATGTGAATGAAATTCTCACCACTGAAACGTCTGATTGGCAGCTTATGTCAAAGTACTCATATCCTTGCCACTGACCTGGAGTTCAACTGATAAGCAACTGAAACTGAGCAACTGCTTCACTCTCAAAGAAAAAAGGTAAAACAAAAAACAAGACAAAGAAAGGGGCACATATCAAAGTATACAAACCCATCCTAGAAACAGTAAATGTTTCTAATAAATGCATTACACGTGAAGGTAAAGGAGTGATTCATACTGCAGAAAATGTACAATTTATCCCACCTGCTTTTCAGCTTTAGAACAGGTGAGTTCATGCAAACCCTTTTTAGAAAACTCATTTTAGCACTTCACAATCATAGTGCCAAATCTGTACATCAATTACAGTGGTACCTTGGCTCACGAACTTAATCCGTTCTAGGACTCCGGTCGTGACCCAAATTGGTCATGACCCAAGTCAAATTTCCCCATAAGGTTCAATGTAAATAAGGTTAATCTGTTCTGTAAACATTTTTTTATCACAAAAATTTGAAACAAAGTGACAAAGAACAACAAAGATGGTGGCCATCTCCCCCCCAGCATGATTGCGGCCATCTCCCCTGCTCTCCAGCAGGACCGCAATTGTGCTCATCTTCCCTGCACGAGTGCAATCGCAGCCACAGACGGGCAGCCATAGACGGGCGCGATCACGGGCGTGCTGGGGGGGGAGACGGATGCAATCGCGGGTGCGCTCGGGGGGGGGGAGACAGGCACGATAGCGGTCATCTCCCCCCCCCAGCACACCCACGATCATCACCTGATGCGGAGTTCGCAACCTGAGGCAAAATTTTTGTGAAATTTCTGTTCGTGACCCGATTTGGTCGTGAACTGAGGCATTCGTGAACTGAGGTACCACTGTAAGTGCAATAACCTTTTCAAGATACTGCATGTGGCGAGATACGGTTTAAAATGAAGAAAGTTATTGATTACACTTTATCTTTAACATGAACAGCAGATGTTTTTTTTGAAGTCCAATAAAGATTAGTACCATTAATGGATTTCGGTGTTCCCAAACAAATCCACTGTGAATTCAAACACATTTTTAACTAGATTAACCAGTTACAAAAAAGTGGGTCCTGTGCTCGCTACCCTACCTGCTTGAAAGGGAGATTAAATTTTTTAAAATCTCTACAAAACTCTTCTTCTCTGAAATACTAAAATGTTTAACCATTGCAACCATAGTTGGTAGAGATTGGAACAAAAAGCAAATATTTGTTTTGCTAAGGAGGCAAATATAGCAGAAAACACAGCAAAGCTCCCAAAACAAATAGACACTGACATTTCTCCTCTGCCAATAACATAATGGATGCTACAGAAAGAGGAAAGGATTATTTGGAAAGGGATCTGCTTGGCCACATCAAATAGAAATCCCACTCACTTTGTAACTCATGGTGCAAGTTTCTTAAATTGCACCCTTGTAACACAATGAACAGCATTTATTGCTATGGGCAAGTTAACTACTAAGTCTGGACTACTCGGTCTAACCTGGAGGTGTCTTATCTTTTTCAGAACATTTGGGAAGCAAATCATCAGCCTGCAAGCATGGGTTGGTACTAGTCCTATCAGCTTTCAGGACTCCAGTGTCTTTAGGTCAAGGCATGCATAATGCGATGATTTAATCTGTAAATTATCAGATCACTTGACTTATCTGAAGTTAGGGGCTACTTAATCTAACCTAGAGGTAGTACCCAGACATTCACACACACTAGCAGCACACAGTGCAAGTGCAAAGGGAAGGTAGTGTCTCCAGAAGCCAGAAAGAAGCAAAGCTATCTGAGATGGGGGTCAGCTGAGCTTGCAGGAGAACACTGATCTGTCCTGATCATAAAGCACTTGTGTCTGGGCTTCCTTTTTTAACTGTTATTTTCAGTTATAAATGCAGTGAGGCCCATTGTGCAACAGAGTGAACACCACCACAGCAGCAGCATTGGATACTGACCCTATATACTACACCAGTGCCCTATCTGCATACCTAATAGCTTCCCAAGAAATGGTTTAGCTTTCCTTTATGAAGCCATTGTCAAATAGCTTAGAGACTACTGCTTCTAATTTTATGATTTCAAAGAAATAGAGGCATATCCATCTGACTTGAACCATCTACATGTCAGACTCCTAAAGAAACATTTTTATTACTACTACCATTAACTGTGGAATTTATTTCCTCAGAACCTGCAAAAATTTTCAGCAAATATTTAGACTTAAAACAATCCAAACACATTTTCCCAATGGGATATTTTAAAATTATTGTAAAAGTTAGATTAGAGGTTGTGTATCCACTAAATAATTTTAATATGGCTAGTAGTGCAATTGTAAACAGTTTTACTAGAAAGTCCCATTTAACATAAAACCTTATTTATGAGTAAATATACTTATTTAACTACATAAGTAAAATTAATTAACCTATGATGCCAACACAATATACAACTCCGTGACATTGTTCCATGACACTATGGATCCATTCACATAAAGACAACCCATCAGTTTAGAAACTGATGAGTTGCATTTCACAAGACAACAGCATGCTTCCTCTTCCACTTTTACTCCACAACCCACAAACAGTTCCCTTACAGGTTGTGGAGCAGTACATCTGAACCTGGACCAAATGGTTTAGGGGCTATACATGCCAGAGGCTAACCCAACAACAAACCATGATTTAACTGGTAGGTTAACCCTTAAGCAACTCAGAGGTCAAGCTCGGACATCATACTGCACAACATGCAAAGCAGCTGATTGGGGGATTTGCACTAAAACTGAGGATGGTTTTTTGATCCAATAGGCTGTCGTAATACCAAATTCAGATTTAATTGTAGGATGAACAACTCACAGTTAACTTATAATTAGTAGTCAGGTTAACTTGTGGGTTGTTAAGCCCATGATCAACCTATGTCTGTGTTTACATGCCATGAAGCAACCTTTGATTAGGTTATATATGCAAAATGGTGGCAGCATACATAGCAGCAAATCTCTAGTTAAGTAAATCATGCCTTCCATCCTTAATATAAAGTGGGCCTGGTTTGCATGTAGTCTTGCTTGTGAACCAAGCCATTGTATTATTCTATGCACTCTCTCCATATGTTCAATGGGTATTACAGCACTAGACATGAAAAATCACTTACACTCCAATTCAATAAACAATAGGTTCAACAGTACCTATTCACACATAAGCACACACAGTATTTTACTGACATGAACTTCTCATCACGGTACATATTTGCCAACGTTTTGTAGATCTTAATGATTCTGTTATATATTACACTTTTCCAAAGACTAGTTTAACTAATTTTCTGCCTGGTCTAACCATGTATATTCATATATGCTGTTTTCTCCTACTTTTCAAATTCATTCAATTATCCACAAATCTGTAGTGAAATAACTAAGCAATCCCCACTCCACAAGCAAAATCTAGGAACTATGCAAGTTGCCTACAGATTTGCCAAGAGAACTAGATTGAACAAGATAGCTACTTCATGTAAAAATGACTATATTCTCATGGAAACAAATCATGGAAAATCAAATCAAAATCAACAAACATATCAAATGAATAAATATAAATCAACAAACATGAAAACGAATTTCATGCATATCTCCTTCAAACATACCCTACTAGTGGGACTACATCTAAATGATAACTATATTATATTCCATTTTTGTCACAAAGTTGAGGAAAAAAGTTGGCCAATTTAAAACTCTCGCACCATGGGTTCCTTCAACATTGATTCACAGTGTGCCATAAGAATTCAAAACTCCGCTTTAAGAAGTTTAGATTTTGTACGGTTAGATTATCAAGAATGTGTTTAAACAGATGCAACTATCTGCGGTTGCCAGAGGTTGCTTGGCCCTGATCCAGAGAGCGGGGTTAGCACATACTCGGGGGAGCACCTTGCCTGGAATCTACGTGAAAACGGGGGAATGGAAAGGGGACGGTGTTCCGTTTGCGAGCACTTGGGAGTGTCGAGAAGCGTGTGGGCGGGCAGCCGTTACCATGGAAGTAGGAAGAAAAGAAGAAGGTGGAGTACATTGCCCGAGGCCGGGTCCTCAAAAGGTCGTTACCCGGGTAAGGCTGCTATCCCGCTGCTCGGAACCGAGGCAGCTCCAACTCCCTCCTGAAGGAGACCGTATCCGACTACTGCGGCGCGGAGACGGTGAGCGGCGAGAAGAGCGGGTGCTGGACGGCGAGCGGTGGCGGCGGCCCCGAGGAGAGGGCGAGCGAGAGCGGCGCGGGCTACGACCCCGAACCGAGCCCGACGTGGAGCCTCCGGACCGAGAACTACGGGAGCCAGAGCTGTTGCTCTCTTTGGATCGGCTGGAAGACGACACGTTCGAGCGGCCGCTACTGGCACGATACATGATGATGATAATGTGCGGGGCGGCGGCGGCGGAGAAGGCCCGGGAGGCCGGCCGGCCGCCCGCATTTACTCACTCACTCTCTTTCGAGCCCACTCCTCTCTCCCGTCCGCCCCTCACCACTCTCCATGCGCATGCGCACCGAACACACGCGCAAGTGGCGGAGCTGAAAAGACTTTCCTCGGCACCCATACAAGATGGCGCGGGTGGAATTTTAGTCACGTGATAAGAGCGAATGGTTCAGCGATGGAAGCGTCGCGAGACCAGCGGACAGACGGGACAGAGACCGAGAAAATGGTGGAGGGTGGAGTTTGTGTTAAGTGGTTAATGGAGCGGCTGGTAAAGAGCGGAGACGGTATCGCCGCTTCTAGAGTATCAGTAGGAGTTTCCAGGAACACTTCTCCTTATCCCCAGTAGTAAAGATGCAATACCAACACGCTAAATCACTGATAATTTACTGAATTTTCATGACACCCGAAAATCTCTGCTGAGTGGAAGGAAGTGGCCCTGAAGGAAACCGTAGCTGCAACCGTGCACTGTGAGAAAAAGAGCACCTGTTGCATGCGTACCTGTTCTGCAGTTCAGTGCATGGGAGAAGTTCTGGCTATCGAAGCAACCTTACTATGGCAAGCTCTGGTTCTCCATGTATCCTGATTGCATACTTACACCGAAGAATGCACTACTGAGTTAGGACACACTTATAAGCAAATGTTCAGAGGATTGCAGTTGCAGGGAATCACTGAATTGGCGTAAAATTGTAGCTAAAGTGTTGGGCTGGGGACCAAGGAGATCCTGGTTCCAGTCCCTATTCAGTCATGAAGTTCACTGGGTGGCTTTGGGTCAGTCACTGACTCTTAGCCTAATCTACCTCACAGAGTTTTTGTGAGGATAAAATGGAACTCTGTAAGCTGCCTGATTTCCTCTTTAGAGGAAAGGGTGGGATAGAAATGTGATAACAACAAATTTTACAAATAACTTACAAGATTCCATGTGCTATTCATGTCACATGAAGTGTAATATTGATGTATGAGTTTGGTGCTATGCTGTGGAAACCCATCAGAGGAATATTATTTATGACAAGACAAGCCTGATGAAGAACTTTTGCCAGGCACTTAATGGAAATGTATCTTGAGATACTTTACTTTTTCTGTGCTATGTGAATTTAGAACGCAGTCCTAAGCACTCTTGCTAGGGAACAAGTCCTATCGAATTTAATAAGATGGCAAAAAGACTTCTCAGCAAAAGACTTGTTCTGAGTGTTCCAATGTTCTTAGCAGCATCTGAATGGGACCTTCTCTGCTACGGGGATCATATTTAAGGCACAACATTTCCAAATATATTTGCCCAGTATCCACCCTACTGTCTGTTAGGTGTGAGGTAAAAGCAGCCTTACTCACCCATGGTTTTTGCACAATATATTTACAGGCTTTTTATGCCATTTAAAGATGCAATCCTATGCATGTTTAAATACGGTGTGTGTGGTGGTGGTGGGGGGGAGCCCTACAACTCTCAGCACGACTGGCTGCAGAAATGCTGGGAGTTGTAGGACCTTTTTCAGTCTAAATATGCATAGGATTGTGCCCTGAGTGTTATTAATTCCGATGCAGTTTTCTTTGATGATTTTAGTTATATTTATTTTGAATTTTAATTTTGTATGTAAGCTGCCTTGGGAACCACTGGTAGACAGGTGAGAAAGACATATTTTAAATATTGTAAAAAGCTGCTCAATAAACATTTGTAAGATTGCACTGCTTATAGGTAATGCTTAATCCTCCACAAACATTTTCCACATCTTCAGTAACATAGCAAAAGCAAAATAAAGATATAACAAATTCAAATGTGAAGGAGGCTTTACAATACGAAGGATGAAAGCATTCAAAGAGGAAGTCAGTGTTAGTGGTGTGTTTCTTGTAGTATTAATTCCCAATTTGTGGTTTCCTATATCTTTAAAATACAACAAAGATATTGGGTAAGTGTCAGTTATATCATCTTTTATATGAACTTATTGCCTTTACATATTTTACTAGAAGGAAGTGGGAATGCCAGCCAGGTTTCTAACCCCAATCCCTCAACTGAGCTGTTAGCTGCTTCCCTATACTATTCATCTCTGGTTGGCTAGGTGGGTGAATTTGCCAGAATCTACCCTCAGTCTTGCCTTTTGAGGGTTTTGTGACATAAATTTCTCTTTTAACAGAAAAGAGAGTTGAAAGTTTCAGAGAATGGAATGCTGATTCCTCATCACTTCACTGGAAACTGAAGCTTGCAACAAAATTTTGCTGTGCAGAGTGCACACATTCAGTCTAGCCAGCTAGATTCTCTTTCAAAATCTCTAAAACCTGGTAACTCCACACGTTTTGGAGTACAGCTCCCATGAATCCTGACCACAGGAATGATGAAGGGCCACAAGCTGGGAAGGGGAGCTGCTCTATTCCTTTCTCTTCCACCCTCTGGTTTTCCAACCCTTGCCCACCCTCAACAAGCTGTCAACATTCCATGCCTACTGAACATGCTCAGTCATTACTAAGTGGTTTGGGAGCCTTTATTAAACTGTTGTAAACTGCCCAGAATGGTTCGGCTATTGGGTGGTATAGAGATGTAATAAATCAAAATTTTACCAAATAGAGTTTTTTCTAATGATTTCTGAACTGCTGTAAACCTTGATTTTCCATGCACCCTCCCCAAATATGCTGTTACATCCAAGCTTCTCGTGCATGGGTGTCGCCAATTTGACTACATAATGATCTGCTGTTGTTGTTACGTGCCATTGAATCATCTCTGACTTATGGTGACCCTATGAATGAGTCCCCTCCAAAATGTCCTATCTTTGGCAGTCCTGTTGTGCTCTTATAAAATCAAGACTCATAGTTGGTTCTTCCTCTTCTGCCTTCCTCTTCTGAAGGCTCTTCCTTTTCTGCCTTCAACTTCCCCTAGCATGATTGTTTTCTTCAATAAGTCTTGCCTTCTCATCATATGCCTAAACTATGACAGCATTAGTTTTATCATTTTTGTTTTCAGGATCAGTTTTTGCTTGATTTGCTCCACCTATTTGTCTTTCTGTCGGTCCAAGATAATAGAACACTCTCCTTTGGCATCATGTTTTGAACATGTCAGTGTTACCCCTGTCAGCTTCCTTCCACTGTCCAGCTTTCACATCCACACATAGTGATTGGGAATAGAATAATGTGAATGATCTTGGCTTTGCTCTCCACTTCTTACACTCTAGTTCCTTTATTGCTGCCTTTCTAAGTCTCAGGCTTCTTGTAATTTTTTTTTTTTTTTGGCTGCAGTTTCTCTTTAAATTGATGACTGAGCCAAAATATGCAAAACCTTTCAAAATTTCAATCTTTTAATTGTTTAAGGTTCTGCAATTCTTCTGTAGTCAAGATTTTTTGTTTTTGTTATGTTCAGCTGCAGTCCTGCTTTGGCAATTTCTTCTTTCACTTTCATCAGGAGTCCTTTCAATTCATTGCTGCTTTCTGTCAATGATATGGTGCCATCTGCATATCTTAAGTTAACGATGTATCTTCCATCAATTTTCTATCTTTTTTCTTATTGATCTTAATCCAGCATTCCTTATAATATGTTCTGCATACAAAGGAAACCACCCTCTTTTTCCATATTTGAATAGTAGATTCTTGTCCATGATACAAGTTATACATCAAGATAATTAAGTGTTGAGGCACATCAATTTCTCTCAGAACCTTCCATAGCTTCTCATGATCCACACAATTAAAGGCTTTGCTTTAGTCTAAAAAGCACAGACTGATCTGAAATTTGTTCATGTGCTCCAGTAGTCCATGTATATTTACAATATGAACTCAAATGCATCTTACTTATTGGATTCCAGTTTGAACATCAAGCATTTCACACTCCATACAGAGTAAAATTATTTGTTGTAACAGCTTGAGCATCACTTTGCTTGCATAGGAAATTAAAACAACGGTCCTATAGTTTCTGCACTCCTTAGCACTCCTTGGGGATTGGAATATATGTTGAACGTTTCCAGTATAGGAGACATTGTTTTATTTTCATTATTTGTTGGCATATTCTTGTTAGAACTTGGACTAATTCAACATGAGTTTTCCTTTAGTATATAGGATAACATAGGTATCTGCATTCCAATAGGATGCCTACCTCTGAGTGTCTTATGCAGTATCTTGTATCTACACAATTTGTAGTTAAGCCCAAACATTGACCTGCATATAACAACTCAAAGCTGGTTTGAGTGGGGGTAGATGAAGTCTAAATTGTTACTCAGTGCAAATTCAGAATTCTGATTTGTTAATGCATCTAGGAAAAGAACTCCTGATTTGTTGTTGAGTTGTGAATTGTTACATGCAAACTCACTTTGGTTATCGAGGGGTTGTTTTCCAGGTAGGCTTCCAAGATACAGCCCCCGAGTACCAGTTTGTATAAGCAGAATCGAGCAGACATGTTTTTCCAGAAATAAGCTACTTCAGACACTTCGAATGCCGTCTCACATAATCTCTGGGGGTGAAAACACTGTGGCACATTTGCAGCTAACATCTTGGATTTTTGTACTGATTTATATGGGCCGCTTTCGCTTTTGCTATAGAACAGGGGTCTCAAATTGCCGGGACGGGCGGGGGAGGGAACCTGCGGCCTTCAAAGCGCCGGCGGCGCCCGGGCCAGATGCGGGATGAGCGGCATCGTGGTGGTGGAATACTTGATGCGGCCCAGCCTCACCCAGACTCTACTTCCAGTGGCCCCCAGGTAAGTTGAGTCTGAGACCCCTGCTATAGAAGCCGCGAATGCGGGTGGAGTCAAAATCAGTATCTTGCTCTGTGGATCAGCCAATGATAGTTTCATCCGCAGTTTGCTTGCTTGCTACTGTAAAGCATCAGTCCAGACACTAGAGGGCGTTGGTGGGACTTGGTTCCTACTAGGGAGCAAAGAGCCCATAGAGAAAAGTGCAGAGTAATATGCCTCTAATATGTTTTCTAATCTATTTGCGTTTTACCGACAACTGCGGCACGATAACATGGGACTACGTTACAAGCCACTCTCAGTCTGCCATATAATCAACTCATAATACTGGTATAGCAATTTTCAGACTCCTTCCCATCTCTCATTCCTCATATACACGAGAGAGAATTTTTACTTTTCTTGAAGATCCCACTCGTGAAGTCCTTTTTTTTTTTTTTAATTCTACCTCACTTTGGAAAGGCGAGGGAAGCGTCTCGGCTGTAAAAAAAAAAAAAGTCCTGGAAGTCTCCCACAAGCAGCTCCCTCTAAGGCAGAACAAAACGTGGCGGCAAAGGGAACCAGGAAGTCCAGTTCACAAATAAACTGAAGAAATGCTTTACGTCTGTGGATGAAACCGGCTTTGCAGCACCGACTCGAACACTTGTGCCAGGTACCCGCGGAAGGGAAGGGGCTGGATGGTGAGAAGTGGCTCGGGTGATGCTATCCCGGCTCTATGCGTATGACGCCTACGGGGGAGGGGGGAGCCTCGGGCGCGGATTGGCCGCCGGGTGGTCGCCGGCTGCCGCTGTCTTTGCACGTCCGAGTTGCGCTCGGGCGTACGCGGATGCCGCGCAGAGACGGCTTTCCGCGCGTGAGCCGTGCAGGCTCGCTCGCGGGGGCGTCGCGCTCGCGGAGGAGAGGCGCCTGGCGCTCACATGGGCTTGCGGGCCAGCGGAGGTCGTAGAGTCACAGTACAATGCCGGGGTTTGCTGTGAGTGCTGGGTGAAAAAGCCGTCGGCCAGCAGTCTGGCCCCTCGCTGCCGGGAGGCCGACGTGATCTCTGCTGGTGCGGGCAAGGCGCGCAGATCGTCCTTCTCCCAGCGCTCCACGGCAGGGCTTCAGCTGAGTTCACAAAGCAGGTTCCCGCCTCAGGGATGAACATGTGAAGAAATACTGAAGAAGAGGCCATTTCTGAGGACGACAGAAGTATGTTTCTGTCACCGTGGTCAGAAATAGCCCTCCTTCATGGAGCATGGGAGGGTTTTCAATATAGCCATTCCTGATACCTAACTACACGTCACCAGTGTCAGATGTGTTACATTGAGCGGGATAGTTATTAGTGCATGGTAAAAATGGTGCTGATAATAATAATCACCATATCTGTATGACTAGCATGCATGCTTGCATACACACCCACACACACTCCTGCTATAACATGCAAACTTTTAGAACACTGCAACACACATAATTAGTTAAAGGCCTAGTATAAATTAAATTTGATCCAGTTTTTATTCAAAGAACTATGTTCTATTATTGCACTACAATGTATGTTCATTTTTTGGTTTTCTTCCCAAATGCTGTGTAACAAAAAGTTTCTCCATTTAACATGCCCTCAAGCTGATCAAGTCATTTTGGTTCTGTTTTCATACTCATGTAAAAGCTTGGGTGTCAAGATAAAATCAGAATGGCTGCCTGGATTGTTAATTGAAGATGCAAGCAGGTGGGAACCAGTATGCACATTTGCTCTGGCACTCCTACAAACAACCTATAGTTAACACATAATGAGTTTGATTGTACAAACTGGATCTACAAGAATTCTCAGGCTAAGGCAACAATTTCTTTCATATGCTTGATCCAGTGTTTTGCTCTGCTTGCCCTTAGGAACTCTTGACCGTTGCTCCTGGATGAGAATGGAAGATATCTTAGCTGATTTGTGTGGGACAAGTCCAACAGACCCACTTCCTGTTTGGGTCCACAACAATGTTGGCCACTGCTTCAACCAGCTAATTTTAAACATAATTCCTCACGTGATCCTTGCTGTAATCAGTGCCTGCTATATAGGAACACCAAGGTATGCTAGTCTAGTCATATGAGCAAAGTTTTACTTAGTTCACACAAAATATGTAGAGTACCTGAATTCAGTGATCAGAATATGCTAGTCAAATTAAGTGATGGCACATACTGATCACCCTTCTTGGCACTCTCCTTGGGTAGTCTCACGTCACAAATGAAACACATTAACATCATAAGAGCAATTTTCCCATAGCTAGTCAAGGATTGCTCAGGTTGATTATCTGTCACTGCTCACTGATTTTGATTTCCCCTTCTTTGTTTTCTGACTATCGAGGTGCATTATCTCTACAAACCTGAGGATGCTTGCTTGCTTAAGGTCAAGGTACATGCAACCATTTTTACTGCTGAGAGAGCTCATAGGAATGTCTGCAAGCATGTTTGTAGGGCTGAATCTTTTCTTCTATTATTTAATGAAACAGTAATTGCAAATAGCACAAGTATTTTGCCTGAATCCATCTATACTCAATTTGACAATTGTTCAGAGGCTAGGCAATGAGGCTTATAGATTTTCAGCACAAAAAGAAAGGGATCATTGGAAGAAAGGGGGAGACTTCATTCTAATTATGGAATGCGTTCCTTGGAGAAGTGCACCTGGTGCTGAGTTTATATTCTTTTTGGCGCCAGGTTAAAACCTTTTTAATTGCTATTTTAAAAATTTTAAAAATTAATATTTTATTGATAACAGTCACTTATTTGTTTTTGTTTTTATATAATATTTTATGGAATTTGTTGTTTTATTGTTTTTAATTGTATGTGTTATAAGCCGTCCTGAGATGCCGAGGCATGTGGTGATGGCATATAAAAGTTTTAAATAAATAAATATTTTCTCTTATCTTCTTACTAGATCTTTAAACTCTCTGGTTGTGTACAGACCTGGATGGAAATTCAGAATTGCTGCATCCTTTATCCTTGCTGCTTTGTCCATCCTTGACATAATCCTAACATGCAGCTGGCAACAGAAATCGGATCTCTTATACCTAGAAGTACTGTCGAGTAGCATAGCTACACTGGCATGGCTTACTCACAGCATGGCACTACTTGCTCTCTACAAGTCTCCATACAGTTTCAGCCGTGGCCCTGCACTCCTACTGATCCTTGTCTTCCTTCCAATCCCATCCCTTATTATCACATTGGTGTGGCGCTTCCAGGCTGAGACAGGTAGTCAGCACTTTCAACTTGTCACCATCTTCAGACTCTCCATCCTCTGCCTGCAGTTGGTCTCTCTGCTTCTTTGTATAATTGGGTTCATCTTCCCCATAACCAACAGGCAAGACTTTTCTTCCATCAATGATTCCTGGCAGCACGAGCCTCTGATCACGACCTCAGGGATTTCTGCACCTATTTGTCAACAAGTGACTGAGGATGGAGAGAGCTGGCTTTCACGTTTTTCCTATGCATGGATGAATCCCCTTATGAAGCATGGCTACCAGGGCACGCTTAATCGGCCCCAGGATGTCTGTCAGCTCCCTCGACAGCTCCAGGCTGAAAGAGTCCGGGAGCACTTCTGCTCCTGTTGGCAGGAAAAGGCAACTCTCAGCCAAGGGCATGAAGAGACTACATCTTCGACAAATAGATTATTTGGCAAAAGTGATCTGGGAGGTGTTGAATTCTCAGTTCCATCATGTCATGCTACTCAGAGGTCTGTACGTCTCCTGTCAGTGCTGCATGCAGCTTTTGGGCTACACTACTACTCCCTGGGCCTTCTCAAACTGGCTGGTAGCCTTTTGGGATTCTCTGGGCCCCTGCTTCTGAACCTGCTGGTCAGTTTCATGGAATCACACCAGGAACCTCTGAGCCATGGAGTGATGTATGCACTAGGACTCTTTGCTGGTTCCTTCCTGGGTGCCATTTTGCGTAACCAATTCAATTATGAAGTCAACAAGATGATGCTTAGTGTACGCACAGCAGTCATCTCTGCCATCTACCAGAAAGCTCTCCATGTGAGTAGCAGTAGCCTGGCTGGCTTCACCACAGGTGAGATTGTCAACTTTATGAGCACTGACACTGATCGGCTGGTCAACTTCTACCTCAATTTCCATGAACTGTGGAGTCTTCCTGTTCAGTTTGCCATCACTCTATATCTCCTGTACCAGCAAGTAGGCATAGCCTTCCTGGGAGGATTGGCTTTGGCTCTACTACTTGTGCCCATTAATAAAGTTGTTGCAAATCGCATCATGGAGAACAACAAGGAGATGCTAAAGCACAAGGATGTTCGTGTCAAGGTGAGATGGAGATACATAGCATTTCAGAGCTCACTCCTCTTTTACCTCCTGATTGTTCTTGTAACTTTGGCTTGAAGTACTTTAAGGCTCCAGTATAAACGTAATATTACACAGCAGTAATGATGACTAGATCTCCATGATTTATCAGGTAGTAATGAACCAGCAGTACAGGTTAATCGTATTCTTCTTCCTAGAGCTGCCTTACTAAGAGATAAAGGCTAGCTTCCTCCTCAATGTATTCCAGTAACCAAGATATTAACATATTAAATGGTTTTATACTGCATCAGTGCATAGAATTATACAGTTGGAGGGGGTCTTGTCAGCTACCTTGTTCAACCGCCAGCTTGATGCAGGAAATTCAGTGCTAAAGCAACCCAAACTGAAGGTCAGATCTCAAAGTTGATCCATATAGCACACTATTTTAATTTTTTTTAATTTTATTTTTTAAGATACAAAAGCAAATACAAAAATCATACAATAAAAATAATACACAAAATACAGTTTAAAAGCACATTATAAATTTCCATGGGCGGAGGCAGAGATCTTTCCTAGATCTGCCACTGAGACCTTCTGCGTGCAAAAAGTATGTGCTCCACCACATTGTTCTCCCTCTGTGTAACAACTCATTGAAAGGATTGGGGTTTCTGGCTGCAGTTACCTAACTGGAATGTACCTGTAAGTGTCCTGAGCCTAGTTTCTCTGATATGGTAACCAACAAGAGGAAAACATGGCTTAGGATCTCTGGTGTCTCCACAAGTAACTTAGATGGCTCCGTATATGTGTCTGTGACTGTTCTGTTGCCTTCTACCCACAGCTAATGACAGAGTTCTTGCGTGGCATACGAGTGATCAAGTTCTACACCTGGGAACAACATTTTGGGTCCAAAGTTCATGCTTGCCGAGCCAGAGAGCTGAAGAGCCTGCAAGCAATAAAGTACTTAGATGCTGTATGCGTCTACCTTTGGGCAGCACTGCCTGTTGTTGTCTCTATTGTCATCTTTATCACTTATGTTCTACTAGGGCACCAGCTCTCTGCTACCAAGGTAAGAGGTGCAGCTATTCCAGGGTACTTTCTTTATCTGAGCTACACAACTGACTGCTTTGGTACTGCAGCTTCACTGGTGGCTAGTACAGTTCCAGGGTCAGTTCAGAGCCAGTGTGCTGTGGTGATTAAGACCATGGGACTGGAACTCAGACAATCTGAGTTCTAGTCCCCAGTCATCCATGGAAGTGCTTTTGTTCAGGATTCGAGACACATCTTTCCATTTCCTAGTTCACTCTCATTCATACCCACTCCAATTTTCCTTTGCCTCCCAACAGACAGTCAGCATTCTGTACCCCTGTGTCTGTACTTGACTCTATGCAGGGCTATTTTGGGGATTCTGCTCCTCATTTTCCTAATGTTTGAGCATCTGATTCAAATATGTATGTATGTAACATATTTTACTTGCTCCCAGTTAAGTTACAGATCAATTAAAATAAAAAAGATAGGTCCCTCCTCTCAGGTTTCTAATAAAGGACACAAAAGCAAAAAGGGAGGAGAGAAAAAAGAGCAAACCCAGCCACTAGTTTTTGAAGTTAAGGGATTATTCTAACAATAAGTTCATATGGGATCCATTCAATGAGAGAGGAAGCCAAAGGAACTGGTATCATTTTCCTATCTACGTTTTGGCCAACAGTATATGTGATTGGGCAAACCATGCATGATTTGGGGCACAGAATTTAGGTCCAGTGCCACTGAAGTGAAATGCATTTTTTCTTTCATTGCACATGTGCCCAGGTGTAACCCTTCCAGGTCTACAAGGCCACCTGCATTCAGTTCCTTTATATTATTTCCTACTGTATCCAAATGCTGCTCTGTTTGTTGGGCCTGAAATACTAGCTTTCCCTCCCATGCATTCTTCTCTCCCTGCCATAGGTATTTACAGCTTTGGCACTTGTTGGGATGCTCATTCTCCCGCTCAATAATTTTCCTTGGGTGCTGAATGGGCTCTTGGAAGCCAAAGTATCTCTGGATAGAATCCAACATTTCCTTGAGCTCTCTGACCAGGATTTGGATGCCTACTACAGCAGAGGTAGGACAGCCAAGGGAAGTGAAGCAGAGAAGCAGTTGGGTGAGAACCAGAAAGAGGATTGATGCCCTTTTGGTTAATGGAGAGTAGCTGTGAAAACAGTGAGGGAATGGCTTTGGTATTCTGTTTGGCTGCAGAGAATCTAGCAAAGAACTTGGTGTTTATCTTTCACTTTCAGAGGCACTGCATGTCTTCTTCAAGAATGCTCCATTCTATCCTTCTGCCCTTGCATTCTCCCTTTCCAGTTGGCATTCTGTGGCTGCCATGTGTGCTAAGTCCTTAATGGGCCATTTTTGGGAGTTTCTCCACTTTTGTATTATTTTTTCTTTAAAGCTGCTGTTTTTTGTTTTAGTTCTAATTTTTCCAAACTTTGAGATTTGAGAGGATGCTAATATCTAAGTCTTGCTTTTGACTATGGTCTTCTTGCACTCACTTCTCAAGTACCTACTAGACAGGGAATATGTATACAGTGTCTCTGAAATCAAAACAGAATGCTCTATACACTTTTTAAATGCAACTGCTGGTGACTATAATCCTTTTCTGTTGCAGCTGGCCCTTTCTATCCATCTTCAGCCTTAGAAATGCACCATTCCACTTTTTCATGGGCACCAGGAAGCCAAGAAAGCACTGAATCACTCATACCCAGAGGAAACTTGCAGCTCTTTATTCAAGATCTGGTAGTGCCAAAGGTGAGCAAGGAGGAGTACTGGCACAGGGAAGCTGCATTACTTAAGGCACTTAATAAGGGGAGATTGTTAATTTGCTTTGTTGAGAGTATAAGCACATCTCTGAATGAATCAACATGTACAAAGTGATATAGCTAGCCCCTGAAACTGTGAAACTGCTGGTGCTTCTTTCTCTCTGCAGGGCACACTGGTTGGCATTGTTGGGAAGGTTGGATGTGGGAAGAGTACTTTGCTTGCAGCTATCACTGGAGAACTCAGTAGGTAAATAGTCTATGCCAGTTTGCTCCTTATATTTGAGAATCCATCTTGTTGTTTGCTAGAGCTAAGGCTTAATTTTAATTAGGGCTCACTAGAGCCCTAATCTGGTATGTGATTTGCACCCCAGGGGGTAAAGCTGAACCATGGTCAAGGACCACAGACACATGATTGTAATTCAAATGCATTAAATGGTTTGTTGATAAAGTAGGATTGCTGCAGAAACAGGAGTAAATTGATAAGACTTCCCATAAAATAAGGGACTCTTGATACAAGCAATAGAACATAACTGGCAAGGCAAGGCAATATGACTAAAGGAACAAACACTAAAAGTCAAGTTTGTACAGTATGAAAAAGGATAACAGCAATAATTGGCATACTCTCCCCAAAGAGATTTGCCTGGCGCCTTCTTTATACTCTTTTCAGCACCAGGCAAAGACCTATCTTTAAAAAAAAACATTTTAATAATTGATGCCACTAAACCTCTGCTTTGTATTTTATTTTTATTGTATTTTTAATAGTTGTTGTAATTAAGGCTTATTGTGGTTTTTGTCTTATGATTGTGAGCTGCCCAGATGTGCTTTGGCACAATAGGCAGCATACAAATCTTTTAAACAAACAAACAAATGGTAAAGTGAATACCAATAGATCACTAAACAAGGATATATTATTAATTTGTACACTGCATCTCACTACAAAAATATCCTTCAGCCCATTTAAAACTATCCTAAATTTCTAGCTGCTCTAACTGTACAGCACTATGGTAGTGAATTCATAGCTACTAATACAGTAAGCTCAAGGATCCCTCAGTATCCAGTAGCTTTAGCAGAGCTGGATGGTGCCAACACTGATCTCGTTGTGGGTACCTTTCAGCTTGTGTAGCCAGAGAATGTCAACAAGATACTTGATGAAACCAGCCACTTGCTCTCTGTATCTTTGCCCCATCCTGGCTTTTGAAATCATCCAGGGTTGAGCTCTCATTAAGAATATCAGCTATGGTTAATTAATAATGCATTGTTGTACTTGCTTACAAATAGAATTCCCTATTAAATTATTAGGTCTGTACTTGCAGAACTTCAGCAAATGCTGGAAGCATCAGGTACTCTAAGACCGTTCACAGGACCCACTTAGAGGGAAATTTTTTCCTCACTACTGGGTAATCATAGCAGGCCTTCAGATAGGAGAAAGAATTCTCTGTCAGACAGTGTGGCTGAAGGGTCAAGTACCAGACACTGAAGAAATTAACTATTGACAGGACCCATATTCCAAAACCATCATGATGGCATTTTGACATTCCTGAGTTTTTTTTCTTTGCCTGCTTCTGCTGCCTGTCTCCCTTATGCATGCAGTCACGGTGAACATGTTTACATTTGTGATCTGGAGAAAGGATTTGGTCTGGCCACACAAGAACCCTGGATCCAGTTTACCAGCATCCGGGAAAACATCCTCTTTGGGAAGAAATACGATGCTAGATTTTACCAGGATGTAATAGAGGCCTGTGCTCTCTCTGATGACTTGAATGTGAGTGCTGTATAATGAAAATATATCCCACCAACAAACTCCCTAGGAACAATATTGCTCTAGAGTACTTTCAGTAATTACACCTTGCAATATGATGTGTCTTTAGGAATTATTCATGGAAAGCACTTTTGCTGTAAGATGTTTTAGTAGATTGGGTTTGGAATCATGTAGCCACCAGCTGCTTATATTGAGAGGGCCACCTGCAGCTTGGTAGTGCCATTGAGCTTTTGGGGACTTCCAGAACTATATTCTTGCTTCATCTTTCAGCAGTCTTCAGAACTTAGGCATTCTGGCAAATTGAGTACCTAGAACCTTTAGTTTTAAACTTTTTGTTATGCTTTCTTACTGTGATTTTTTTGGTAGACAATTTTTTTGGTAGACGAAGCAAATTTCCTTTAGGTATAAGGAACTGTGTTATGGTTACCCACCCTTTTTTAAATAAATGACAGCTAACCCTATGTAAACACATACCACTTTAGCTGTCTTAAATAGAGGGCAGATCTAGCATCAGAAGGATAGTAGAGCTGGTGCCAGGCAGGAGTTAATGGGGAGACTATTCCATAATTGAGAAGCTGCCACAGTGAAGGTCCCTTGCAGACATATGGCACATAGTTGCTTATCTGTGACGGACTACAGCAAGAAAGATCAGACTGCAGGCTTCTGAGAACCCAGGTGTTCACCAGCCAGAGGCCATGTATAAAATAGCAGGTAGACATATTCTAAAAACTAAGGAACGGCACATGATCAGTCCAGGAATTTCTGCAAGCTCCCACTAAAATCTAGTCCTGCTTTCCCTCCGAGTGTTTGTTTTTCATTTAACAGGATAAAAAATTAAGTTCTTGCTATTGTTCAAAAGTTGGGAATTGAACATTTTACAAATCTACTATGAATCATCCAGAGCTCTTCTAGTAGATCGTGTTTGACCTTCTGGACTAGAGGTGTGAATCAAACATCTAGGAATTTTAGATGGTGATTTTCTACATCTCACTGCATCTGTTCAGCAGCTGTTTAATTACCTTTCATCTGCTTGTCTTTTAGATTTTGCCAGCAGGTGATCATACAGAGGTGGGTGAGAATGGAGTGACCCTCAGCGGGGGACAAAAAGCTCGAGTTGCACTTGCTAGAGCTGTTTACCAGGTAGATCAAGGACAGAATGAGTAGCAGGAGGGGGTAGTATACTGAAATAAACTGGGTGGAACATAAAAGCCTCCATCTTCCTGAGCAACCAGAATGTTCTGCTCATAAGATCAGGGCCTCAAAGAAAAAAGAAATATTTTGATTGTTTGTTCTTTTTTAAGGTGTCCTATGTAATACTGGGTTGGAAAGAGCTAATTTTTTAATCACTTTTTTCCTAGGAGAAAGATCTGTACCTTCTTGATGACCCACTGGCAGCTGTTGATGCAGATGTAGCCAATCATCTGATGCAGAAATGCATTCTGGGGATTCTCAGATGCAAGACTAGGATTCTTTGCACTCACAGAACTGAGTTTCTGGAAAAGGCAGACATCTTAGTGCTGATGGATAATGGCAAAATACTTAATACAGGTATAATCTGATGCTTTCTATTTTTTTCTTTCTACGTGGTTCCTGAGTTCCCTTTCTCAAAGCTGGAATTTAGAGGGTGAGGAAGATCGATTTTCATTCAAGCAGGTAGTATTTATTTGCTCATTTTATTTGCAGTTGTTCACATATGTTCATATTATCTTATCATTATTGATTCATTAATGATGTTTCTTTCATAAACTTCTTGTTACTATTTAAAAATTACTTGGGTGTTTTTTTTATTTTGTAAGCTATGCTGAACTTTCATTGGATTATAAATGCAATGCATAAAATATTTGGATACAAATGTAATAATATAAATAATAAATAAATAATTGGATTAAATCAGGATGTAGTATATTAAGTATATACCAAAAGAATAGGGGAAGATGCAGAGGTAGTGCAGGGGAAAAAGAAAAGTTAAGGAGAATTGCTAGGCTATGGTATCATTAAGGAATCATTAAGCAGATTGAGCAAATGAGGCTTCCAACTAGAGTTACATGAGCTAGTGTTGACCAGAGATTTTATTGCAGGGATAAGGATCATAACCAAGGGGGAGGTGACAGGGACCCAGCAGGCTCGGCGTTGCTGCCCCACCTCCTTCCCACAATGGAGGACTGGACTGGAGCAAAGGAAACAGAGCTGCATGGGTCCCTCTTGTTCTTCTAAAAGAGTGAAGGGGACTTGGCTGGCTTTGCTTTGTTGTTCGTGCTCTTTCCCAGTTAGGAAAGCCCATGGCACAGCAAAGCCATTAGTCCTCTAATGCAGTGGTTCCCCTTAGCAGTCCATTTCCATAAACTATACCCTTGATATTAGCTAAATGTGTGTAATTAATATAGTTGCTGTTATTTCAAATTTATATGTTGCTACTGTAAATAAATAGCCCAATAAAGGGATTAAAACACAATGGAATAATAAGGTGAACAGACAGTGCATATGTATTCGCATTCAAAACTCAGAAGAGTTTTTTGGCATTATTCAATCTTTTTCATCTACACCTAAGTATCCTTGATTGTACCCCTGGGGATACGCATACTCCAAGTTTGGAATCACTGTTCTAATGGAAGAGCAAGAGGGGCTCAGTTACCTGCTCCGGTTTGGTCTGCCTCTTTCTTGCAACAGGGGAGGGAAGCAGGATGGGTGAAGCAGAGGCAACCAGGTCCCCATTGCTCCTGCTCCTTGGCAGGCTTAGCTTTGCTGTGTGTTGCAGTTTCCTGAATGGGAAAGCCTGCATACAGCAAAGCAGCGTGATGGAATCCTCCCCCCCACCCCCCCAATCACTGATTAGCACTCCGTGAGGTATGCTCTCCTGTCTCTTCCCTAACCCCAGCAGACTTCTGAAGGAGCAGGTTTGGAGCCTTGAGGGAATGGGGCCCAATAAAGTGATACGAGCCTGTGCAGGCCAGATTAGTTCTATGGGCCAGGCATTCTGTACTCAGTGTGGGGCACAGAGACAACTTTTATCAATCACCCCTGCAGTCCCACATGCTTTCTTAAGAAATTCATGTGAAGGATTGGGAGACCCTCTGAAATGTCATGAGAGCTGTTGCCATCTGGCTGCAGGAACATCTGTTGAATCACAGGCTCTTTCATGAACCAACAGAATGCTTCTGTTTGCAAGTGTGGCTGTTAGTCAAAGTCTGGAGCCTCAAATACTGCAGCTGGCATATTTTAGCTTCTGTTCAACATGCATGGACCCTGCTCTTATTTTTTTTCTAGGCACCCCAACAGAGATTCTGCCGTTGGTGGAAGCTGTTCCTAAGCTTAGTAAGGTGAACAAGAGAAAGGACAGCAGTAAGTATTGAGTGTTTCAGGATGGCATGGGTGTAGGTGTAGCTATGTTGGATCCATGGCAGTTAGACAAAATATTTATGGCAAGTCTTTGTTTGCCATTTGGCTCCCCATCAGGATTAGTGGGTCATAGTGAAGAGTGAACTTGTTTGGAAATCAGTGGCTATTCGCCTTGTTGGCTCTGTGCTACTTCTTTTATCTGAGGTGGCATGCCTACATACAGCAATTGGTTTGCTGTTGTGTGTATGGAGTGCTGAACTAGATGGACCTTTGCTCTAATCCATTATGGCTTTTCTTAGGTTCTTATGTTTCCAGAGGGGTACCACATTTTTACAGAAGCAAAGTATTATGGCTTAAATGCTCAGAAAATGTAGTATGCAATGATAACCAATGAACTAAAAATGGTGCAGAGAGTCCTGGTTAGTAGCAGTCAGTAGAGTAGTGACTAGTTAGGTTGGTTGTCCTTAGAGGTGGATGGATCATGTTCCTCGAGCAGGAAACATTAGGGAACATTTTGCTTGGGATCTACATTCAAGGATGCATTTAGCTTGGGTTGTGCTATAAAAGAGGGGTGAGATTTTAGAGGGATTGTGGGAACTGTAGGGTATTAGTTCTTCTTGAATCCTGCAACTGGCCAGGACGTCTCCAATTATATTGTTTTATATTGTTATTATTTATTTATTCTTGTAAGCCATCCCGAGGCTTCGGCAAATGGGGCGGCACAGAAGCTTTCTAAATTAAATAAATAAATAAAGGGTTTGTTCTGTCTTCGAAGTGCAAAATGAATTTAGCCAAGAAGAAGATGTGGAGCCTGAGGAAGAAGAACCAAACCAAGCTAACTCTATCCTCAAGCAGGAGGAGGAAAAGAAAGAAGGGGCTGTAGCTTTTCAGGTCTACAGGGCTTACTGGCTGGCAGTTGGCAGTTGCCTAGCATTGTCTATCCTCCTCTCCCTGCTGCTGATGCAAGGTAAATTATCACTTCCTTTCCTGTCCACATCTTCCCTTGTTCTTAGGTTCCTGCATCCTGTTAAAACAAATGGCCTAATTTACAGGAGCTAAGGAAATCTGCATTGTCACATTGCATAGATTATGGAAACTAATACGAAACCCACAAGCTAAAAAAAATCTTGAGATTCTTAGTTTGCAGCTTCCTGTAAAAAAATAGCCCTTATAGCAGCAAAAATATACTTCTTTTTATTTTATTATTACCTTTATACCCCTCATTCTTTCCTTTTGCAAAGAACCCAGCCCAAGTTTGCTTGCATTATCTTCTTGTTCCTCTTCATTTTATCCTCACAATGATGTTGTGAGGGAGGTTAGGCTGAGAGTCAGTGACCAAAAGCCACCCAGTTAACTTCATGGCTGAGAGGGGAATACAATGGAGATCTCTTGGGACAACATTCTAACCACCACACCTCACAGATTTATTGGTTGGTTCTGTTATAAATACAGAAAATCGGATAGAAGTAGAAAGCCAGTGTGGTGCAGTGATTAGAGTGCTAGACTGGGACTTAGAAGGTCTTGGTTTTAGTCCCCGCTCAGCCATAAAGCTCAGACAGTTACTTTAGGCCATGGGTCCTCAAACTAAGGCCCACGGGCTGGATCGGGCCCGCCATGACCTTTTAAATGGCCTGCCCCACAGGTTTTGCACTCACTGGGTGCACGCGTGGCTTGCTGGCAAGGAGGTTTTGGAAACGCTGGGAGAAAACAATCTTGTGAACAAGGCGGTGCCTTGCCTGGCAGCAGCTTGCTCACAGGGAGATCATTTTGGACTTGCTCAGGAAAGATCTCCTCATGAGCAAGCTGGCACCTCGCCCCGCCCCCCGCACTGGCCTGCGCCTCCCCGCTAACACCGCCTTGGCAGCCCGCAGCCACCGCTGTCAACTGGCCCCCTGTTCAAAAAGTTTGAAGACCCCTGCTTTAGGCCAATTACTGACTCTCAGCATGATCTATGAGAGGACAATGACCATATGAACTGCCTTGGGTTCCTTGCAAGAAGAAAAAGATGGGATATAGATATAATTAAATAGGGACTTCAGTGTGGAGGGACTGAGATGTCACTTAGCACAGTTGTCCTTTTCCTGTGAGACCTTCTATGGTCTGCCCAGACATAACTGGAAACCGTGGTTTCATGCTACATGAATGAACCTGCATGAGCCTCAGACCTGTCCTCCTCTTTCATGTGCCAGAGTTTATCAAATGCATTCCCATTTAGTTCAAAACTGAGCAGCAGCAGCATCTAAAGTGGGGAACAGTGGTTTGATTACATTATGGTTAGTGAGAATAAGCCAGGATCAGACCATCATTTCAGATAATTGGGAAGTACATTGTGGTGACATGAGCTAGGACTTTTTCTCTATTGTCTCATTGACTTTGAAATGCCCTTCCATTGTCTAAAATCTTCCCAAGGAGATGTGTTTTCCAGAACCTGTAGGAAAGTGTGAGTTCTGAGTCTTGGGAAATGTAAGACATAGAATGAAGTCTCTAGAAAAGTAGATGTTCTGGGTGTGGGTAGTAAAGAGCATAAAAGAAGGGTGAATTGTTGTGCTTTTGATCTTCTCCTCTGGCATGCAAAAAGCCCGTCCAAGATTCTTTCAAGTAAGATGGCAAAAGATTTCTTCACATGACCATGTTTACTGTGGAGAAGTCAGCATCAGATTACTATCCCCCTCATTTTTCATGTAGAAAAAAAAGTTGAGCACATTCTGTTGAGTACTTATTCTAATCATTTGTAGGGCATTTTATAAGGTCTTTTATAACGTTAAAATGTATGGGAAACTTGTATGAGCGGGCCCTTAACTAACCTCTGTTTGACCAGGGAAATTAAATCTCACTTGCTGATACTTATGTACTTCTGCAGCTTCTAGGAATGTCTCCGATTGGTGGTTGTCTAACTGGATCTCCAACCTACCGCATACAGAAACTACTTCTGTCAGCAACCTGTCAGTTTTACCTTCCTCACAGCTGCTGCTCTTCTCCCATGGGGGACTCATGTATGTCACCACAAGCTATGAGGTTCACTAAAATGGGAGATTGTGTGTTTGAACCACACACTGTTAACAAGGCATGGGCAGAGCACATGGCCTTCTGTATTGTGCTGAGTGAGAGGTATTGGTGGTTAACACAGTGGGAGGGAGGGAGGGAGGGAGGGAGGGAGGGAAGGAGGGAGGTCCTTTCTCAAGCCTTCCTAGAGTAGCCTCCTCACTTGACACCATGAGAGCTATTGACTTGGCACAACTCCTGGAAGAGGTCCTAGAAAAAGGGCTAACCTGGTGAACTGCCTGGTCTGACTGATCTGGTTTGTCTCCTTCCCAGTTCTCCAATATTGGCCTCCATCCCTTCAAATGGCACTTTGGATGTGAACTTCTACCTCACTGTCTATGGCTGCATTGCTGGGGCAAATTCACTCTTCACCATTCTACGAGCCTTCTTCTTTGCCTATGGCACTATCCACGCTGCTACTGTCATTCACAATAGGCTGCTTACAAGAGTGACAAAGGTAAAGTCTGTTGGAAAGGACAGTACTGGGGCCTGAGAGCACTACTGGGGAAGAGGAGCAATAAGGATGAATAAAAATAATTGTTTTTTAATTAATTAAAGCAAACTTCCACATGTCTTTTTTAACATTTTAAATATTTTATTTTTAAATGAAAAAGCAAATTTCTTATATCCGATAAATAGATTACTGTGAAATAATATGAATAACATGCTTTCAGCCCTAACAGTTTGTCTCCAAAATGAGTCAGTGCTTCTGTCAGAAATATTGAGTTTAATATATTGAGTTAAAAGAGCTTTTTTCCTATGTAAATGAGGAAGCAATTTGATCATTTCTCAAATAAGATTATTTATGTAGGCATTTCATTTTCACCTGAAAAAGTAAACTGCTGCTGTCTGCCCAGTAACTGTCAGATCTTACTTTGGCCTGTTTGTATTGGGCATTCCTTTTTTTGTTTGCTGTTTTGTGCTTGCATGGAAACGAAGAGCAGAGCACAGAAATAGTGTCCCATGGGCCCAGCATTCTTTCCCTGTTCTGCCTTCATAGCTTATATGACAAGGTCAGGCTGCTTCCCTCCCAGGGTTGGATTTGAGGTTGCATTTGTACCTGTCCGTGCACCAGCTTGCAACAAATCAAGACATCTTTGACTTGGTTAGTCACAGAAAGATACAAAACTGACAGAAAGGCTATATATATTTGATGAAACAAATTGGTTAAAAGAAACGTTGATTTGTGTCATAAAATTTTCATACTGGGACTGCTTTGTGTTATTGGGCACCTGTACAAATACAGTAAAATGAAATCATAAATATAACAAGCTGCTTACCTATAGCTGTAGTTTTTCAGATAGTCATTTAAGCAGTCTCACAGGTTGGTCTGTGCCTGCACGAAGCTTTATTTGGGAAACTTGCGTAGCTAGGCTAAAGTTTTGGCAAAAGTTCCACCGCCCTCCAGTTCTACAATCAAGGGCCACGGTCCCTGTCATTCTGCTCAAGTTCTTTGACTGCTACAGAAGTAGCTTCATGAACACTTCACTCTAGACAAGAGGGGGAAAGGACAACAAATGAGTTTTCTCTCTCCCTACATTTCTTGTTGTTCTTTCTTCTCACATTTTTGATAGTTTATTTGCGTTTTTGTCTATTTGTGGTGTATCAATTTCTCAGCCTGTGAAAGCCCTTTTGGGCCTGTTGCTCAAAGGTTAACTTTTTCACACATACTCTTTTTGCATCAACAAATTACCACATTGTCTCCTGAGTTTGAGAGAAGGTTATCTGGGTGAATCCTGTAAGCACTGATAGGTCATCTTCCAGAAAAATGTGCTGCATCTCCTCAGAGGTGGCCATATCTTTGATGACAGAATCTTCCAGGCTGGTATTGAGCTTGGTACAAATGGTCTTTCATAATGCCCTTGTCATGCCTCCAGCTTCTGGACAGAAGTTACTTGTAACGCTCCTAGCTAAATTTGTTTGAGTGCCAAGGAATGGTTTTTGTTCATTTGATTGTTCATTTGATGTTTCTTTTGGAGATACCTAACAGGAACAAGGATAAGTCTCCTGAGTTTTCATCAGTTGCAAAACAAGCAAAAATCACAGGATCCTTATTGATATCGATACAGACATACAGCCACAGCTATCCAAAGTACCTGCACCAAAGGAGCTTGCAGAATAAGCAAAGTCAGGATTAACACTCCTTTTCACATCAATACCAGTGCTAGAAAAAAGCCGGACTTCATGGCACACTCCTTCTAGGCTGCCCGTTTCCCTCCAGAATTCTAGTTGGATGATACAGCCCAAGCTACTGGACTTGACACCTTTGGTTATCCAGCCTGTGTACATACTTCAATGTCATTGGTGCTTACAGTAATTATGTCAGCTATATCTGTATCACCACAACTTCAGGTCCAGTTTTGGTACCAAGCCTACTGTGGTCTCATTCATAGCATAATTAGTCTTGTCTAATTAAAGAAGTTCCCTAGCTATGTATCTCTCAGGGACAAAACAAAGAAACAACAAAGCAGAAAATAAAATGGCAAAATACATTTTTTTCTGACATTGGTAACTCTGTAGTGGTAATGTGTGAAATAGTAAGCTAACACGATTCTTCAAATTCTTGTTCCTCTCTTGCCAGGCCACAATGGCTTTCTTCGACAGCACACCAACAGGCCGTATCCTTAATCGCTTTTCCTCAGACCTGTACTGTGTGGATGATAGCCTGCCTTTCACTCTCAACATCTTCCTGGCAAATGTCTTCGGGCTGCTGGGCATGCTGGTCATGATCACCTATGGGTTGCCTTGGATTGGCCCAATCCTATTGCCCTTAGCAGCCATCTACTACTCCATTCAACGCTATTATCGGCACACATCTCGTGAACTCAAGCGCTTCTATAGTCTCACCCTGTCTCCCATCTACACACATTTTTCTGAGACGTTGACAGGCCTCAGCATTATCCGAGCAACCAGGGCCACTGGCAGGTAAGTTTTGCTATTCAGCCAGGAAAGTGCTGAAGATACTGAAGGCTGACAAGGGATCAGTATTGTGACTGCTAATAAAAGAGGCAGTGAGAAAAACAAGAGGACTAGTTCTAATATTAACCTCTGGGCTGTATCCAGTCTAGGTTTGAGATGGAAAACCTTCAGCGATTGGAGCTGAACCAGCGCTGCCGTTTTGCCAGCAACACTGCCATGCAGTGGTTGGACATACGGCTGCAGATGATTGGAGTTGCTGTAGTTACCGCTATTGCAGGCATTGCCATCATCCAGCACCAGAGGAAAATGGGAGACCCAGGTGAGCCGTTGGGCAATGGGTTCTGAAGGAGGCCTCTTCATCTTTAGCCATCTTTTTCCACTAATCTCTTCCCTCTGTCTCAGAATGCTTGTTCCTTCCAACATACTCAAATGTGGATCCTGGGCTTCTGCCACCTCACAGAACTGGACGATTAGAAAGGAACTAGAGAATAGTCTAGTAGTCCCAGGACTTGCTTTTAACACCATCATGCAATACATGATACATTTGCAATTATTTTATACTACGTTTTCATATGCCTGCAACAGCATTATTCAAAATTGGAGTGGGGGAAATACCGCAGCCTGCCTATGGTCAGGACTGATCTAGTTGAAGACCAATGTTTTAGCTGAACTCTTGCAGAGAACAATATAATGCAAATGGTAAAATACAACAAAAAAGAGGCAATACCAAACTTGTCCAAAACATCTGTAGGAAGTGTTAGGTCAGGGAACCCTGATCTTTTTGGATCTGTAGGCACATTTGAGAATTTAAGAAACTGTTATGGGCACCACCAATGACTTCCCTCTTTGGTGTCTACCTGCTTGAATCAACAAAAACTTTTATTTCATGTCTGCTGGAAACTGCAATCTTTCTTGAACTGAATTGAAATAACTTATTGCAGCTGATTGCTTCTTGTAAACATATGTTTAAACAGTGACCAGTGGCTGCTTCTTTTATCTAATCCATTTACTGAAACAGTCTTTAATGTTCACTATGTGTTCTTCTAAATTATTTACCTGCTTTATGGGCATTAACATGGAAAGGGAAATGGTTTTTCTGCATGCTTTTGACAGCTAAAGGGCTGATATTACAAAATTGGAAGGAGAAAAAGTCAGCTGTTATGATGCAGTGGATTGAGATCCTTATAATAATCTCAATGATCTGATCAGGTGCGATGTAGATTCCAAATTCATATTTGGTATGCTTTTGCTGAAGCCTCTATAGCTTGACAATTGTATCCACTTATGTATGCATATTTTTAAAAGGGAGAAAATAAAAGAGAAAAAAGAAAATGAAATTTTGGAGGGCCCGTGGGAACCCTGTATTGGCTAGATGAAGTTGAGTGGTTCAGGCTTCTTGACAAGTAGCAAGAAGAGAGAAAAGAATCATTAGCCAGGTCTTATGTATTCTAAAAATTCATTGTGATGCTAGCCAGACCTTGAATGTACAAGAGAAATTCACCCCTTGGTTCTTGCCAAGGGATGCTTTTCTTAACATGTTGGTATCCCTCTTTTGTCCACTCTTTTTTCCTACCTTGGAGCTTGACCATCTCCACTAGTGTTTTCTTTCATCTTGTTTGTAGCAGAGTTGTCATTTTTTGCCTTCTTTGCCTAATGGTTTTTGATAATGTCCTTTCTGCCCTTTCAGGTCTTGTGGGCCTGGCCCTTTCTTATGCCCTGTCAGTCACAAACTTGCTGTCTGGACTCATCGCTAGTTTCACCCATACCGAGACCATGATGGTGAGTGTGGAACGGACAGAGGAATATGCAACAGAGATTCCCATAGAACCTCAAGAAGAGCTGATCCAGGTAAGGCTGCCTTGCCATGACTCTTATGAGTATGTGAATACATTGCTCATCTGGATGATCAGATATGCCTAAGCAAAGCATGTGATTCCACATAATTCATGTGCACAGACTGCTTTCATTGCCCATTTGTATCTAGGTATACAGTGATATTTAAAATAACAGTGCAAGTTGTGTCTTGTCCTTCAGTGGAGAAGAGCAATCTAGAAAGAAGGCAAATTCACCCAGCGGTCCCTGAAAAAAGGACCAAGTCAAGCCTGCCTGCCATATACTTCCTACTTTTGCCAGGGCAACAGAGTATTTTGATGCCACCTAACCTACATAGTCATTTCTTCTCTCCTGGTTCAGTTATCTAACAGTCCCAGGGAGTGCTTTGAAAAAGGAAGAAAGGAGAAAGTAGAAAGATGTCTGGTTTATCTCTTGGCAACTGATGTGTATTTCATGTGGAATATCACGTCACTTGCATAGCTAGAGAATCTTACCGGAGATCCATTGAGGGAAAGTAGCCTGTGCCATCATCACTGAACCCAACAGCAGGTCTCATATATTGGCAGACAAAAACATTAGTGACAACATTGTGTGGGAAAGTTCAGCAGTCTTTTGCCCCATCACTCATCCTGGACCCCTTAAAGGATCATGTTTGCAACTGAGATGGCAGTATGCACTGTTGCACTGGGATGTTGGGATTCACCCTGCTTCCTCTATAGTAATTATGGAAATGACAGATCAAAAAGGGCCTGCAATAGGAAGTTGTTGGAAGGATTGCTGTTCATTATTGCTGACCACATTTTCTCCTTTCAAGGTTGCACCTGATTGGCCAAGTCAGGGTCACATAGAGTTCCAACAAGTGGTACTGGCCTATCGGCCTGAACTCCCCAATGCTTTGGATGGGGTGACCTTCACCATCTATCCTGGCGAGAAAATTGGGATAGTTGGGCGGACTGGATCTGGAAAGTCCACTCTCTTTTTGGCCCTTTTCCGTATGGTGGAATTGAGCGCTGGCCGAATTTTCCTGGACAATACTGATATCCATTCTGTAGGCTTGAAACAGCTGAGGTAGGTAATATTCAACAAATATAGTGGCATACAGCAGTAGGGGTGTAGCTGAGAACCGTCTTTTAATTCTAGCCATTGCTGGAGTATAGCATTTGGGCTGGTTGCATGATACAGCCCTCTGTGGATTATCTGAGCCATGGCAAGCCTCCTGTGCATTTTGAATACACAGCCCACGCTCGGAGGTTGGATTGTCAAAACCTAGTGAGCATAGGTTATAGGAAGTTTAAACTACCCTCCCCTAACCCATGGCCTGTTTTAACCTTGCATAACCCATGCTCACAAGGTTTATACAACATGACAACTCCCAAATGGCTGTATTGGCAACCTGGCAGTATGGGTGCCACAGCTTATTTGGCCCTGGTCACTATCAAAGGATTAGTAATAGTTATTTCTTGATTAACCTTGTAATGGCAGATTGAACCACTTAAATGTTACTCGGCATGTGAACAATAGCGCCTGTGTTCTCTAATCCCTTATGTAACAGCCTGAAAAGTTCATTTAATGAGATGAGATGGGGTTCTTTCGGGGTGTCAACTGCATGCTCATCATTCTTGTTTTCCTCTGGACTTTCTCCAAACAAGCTTTCTTCTGTGCTCTCCTTTAGGTCTAGATTAGCCATAATCCCCCAAGACCCCTTTTTGTTTAGTGGGACAATCCGTGAGAATCTGGACCCTCAGGGGCAACACACAGATGCTGACTTGCACCATGTCCTGGAACAGTGCCACTTGCAGGCCGTGATTACAGAGATGGGTGAGTCTGTAGTCTGGAGAAGGGAAAAGAACTACTTGTTGGAGGAAGGAAATGATGGAATGAAAAAGATACCAAAAGCCCAGCAAGGAATCCATTAGGATGTGATTGTTTTGAATATTGGTCAAAGTAATGTCAGAGCAATACGACAGTGGAACCAGCTGCCTAGAGAGGTGGTGGGCTCTCCCACACTAGAGACATTAGAAAAGAAACTGGTGTAACTTGGTGTCCTGCAACAGCAGGGGGTTTGACCCAATGGCCTTCATGGCCCCTTCCAATTCTACTATGATTCTAATAAACAGAAAGTGCACTAATACCCACAGAGGTAGAGATTGTTGAACCCTAGTAAAAATTGCTGTAGATTCAGGTGGGGCATTTTTTTCCTCATTCTTTTTATGGGTATTATATCAGGAATCCCATGCTGGTACTGGGTTTGGATGAAGCTGAGAATAAATAGGGCCACCTGTTCCCTCTTCTTGCCAGTACTCTTCTTTCCTCTATCTCTTCTTCCTTGTCCAGCAGGCTGCTGGTAGAGGGACAGTCTGCTTTTGTCAGAAGTCTTAACTGATTGATTGCAGAGGTCTGCTCTAGTACTCTATCCATTTTGGCATTCTATACATTTTCCTACTCCTTGCCAAAGGTCTGAACTGATCATTTACTGATTCTCTTCTGTCATTTCATTTGTTTCATCTTCCCACCCACCCCATTTTCCTCCTCAGAGTTCTCCTGCCTGCATAAAATAAAACTGAGATTACCCAGATTCATTTAGCTTTTTCTTAAAAGGGACCCACTAAGATTCTTTAAACAGGGTTTGCTAGCCTTATGGCCCTGTCAATGCATTTGGACTGTTTAAGAAATGTCATGGGCATGAATGCAAAATTGCTGCCATGAGAAGTGTGGTGAGTCAACAAATAGCAGTCATGGGACATGATCAGTCAAAGCACGGTGAGTGTGTGTTTCATCTCTGTTTTCTTTGTGTTCTCCCTCACGCACACACACATGCACAGAGAGAGACAGAGAGTACACATACCCCATCTCCATAAAATCTGTGGGATCGTATGATGGGATAGCAGGTTCTTCTTCCACCAGCCATTTTTTGGGAGGGTGCCCTTCCCTTTTTTGCACTATGCACAATGTATACATTCACTTCTATGTGAGAAAAAGCCCCAGCACCTCTGAAAATGGCTGGGGAATAATGCCTCCTGCTGAGGAGCATTCTGGCAACAGCACCTTTGAGAAGTGGATGGGTGTTCTGTTGCACCAACTGGCTTTCAGGAGTGCAGCTCCCCCCACCCAAGATACAAACCAATGTAGTGTTGAGAATGTTAGGCAGACAGGTGGGCACTGCTGCAGCACCTGCCAGACTCTCATGACACTGGGGTTGGGGGGCTGTGTTAGGGATACCAGCTTTACAGCAGTGGAAAGGATTTAGACTGCTTCCAGTCTGTTTCTCACTGAGAGCACATGGTGTTCTTAACACTTCTTGCCTACATCTAAGCCCTTGCTATTTTGAGAATCTAGTTCATATGAACTAATGTTGAGGCAAAGTTTTGAAATTCACTCAGAAAGCCTAAAGTTCACTTTCTTCTTCCATGCAGGTGGACTTGATTGTGAGCTGGGGGAGAGAGGAAAGAATCTTTCTGTGGGACAGAGACAGCTTGTTTGTTTAGCCAGAGCTCTCTTGACCAAGGCCAAGGTGAGTGCCCACACAAAGCATAGTTTTTTTGGTATAGTACAGTCATGCTCTCTCTTTGTCTCAGAGAAGATTCATCCTGCAGGAACGAGAAAGTTCTAGTTGCTTGAGCCCAAGAATAGCAAAATATCCTGAAGAGTCAGAGTGCCTTCTCTATGAGGCATAGCATCTGGGGCATTTTAGTTTCAAAGAGTTTATGTATGGTGTAGAGAAGTGTTTTTTCTTCTATACTATTTACACTAGAACTCACTATCCCCTCTTAAGATCAATTGACAATGCATGCAAGACAGAGAAAAGACAACTGTTGTATGTTTAAGTAAGTCTGAATAGAGTTTGAGTAGAAATTTATTCAGACAACTGAGTGACCAAACTACTGTAATTTGGAATTGAAAAGCCTTCTGCCAGAATGAATCTTCCTTATAGTAAGTATTGACAGAAAGTCAAAGAAGGTTTGGTTCTTTCATTTAAGCTGTTTTATTATTTGCAGAAATAATACAAAATATATTAAGTACTGAAATAAGTCAAAGCATAGACTCCACAGGGAGCCCTTAAAACACTTCCATTCCATCCCAATAACTAAAAACAATCCAAGCAGCCTTAAAGCAGGTAGGAAAAGAGCCACCTTGGGAAAGCAGGTGTCCCAAGGAGGACATGTACATCTCAGAAGGACATACATTTTGATTGTGCTTTAGCAATCGAGAACATTCAGGTGTCCTCACTGCTTCCAACTCCAGAGATTGGTTCCCATGACAATGTAAGCCATCTTGTTTTATAAGTCCAAGTGGCTTAACATATTCCCTAAACTAGGGAATGCTTCCCAATAGGTGGTTTATAACTTTCAGGAAGCCATGGTTCTGGGTACAGTTTATAAACCATCCCTGGATCAGATTTTTTGTGTTAGTCCAAAGGCTCAGTGAACTTGCCAAAAAGCTCTGAGCAAAGGCCAGTGAAGACTGCCCGAGTGCTGAAGTGGCACCTAGGGGCAGCTGTCAGAGGGGCTGTGCACAGCCACTCCATTGCAGCTCTTGATGCCAACACTGGCAGCATCATGGGATGACCACTTCTGATCCTGTAAAGCAGGCTTGCAAGCAACGATCATCATCAGCCAGCTCCATCCCACCTGCCATTTCAGGCCAAAGGAGAGGAGGAGGTCACTCCAGTCATTTGGCTGGAACAATCTCCTTGTCTTTACTACCCTTACCTATTGTTGTGGGCCAGCAATGCCAGGCAGGGACGTTCACTCTGCTTGGCTTCCTCTAGGGTACAAAGCAGTTCACACACACCCCATCTAGCAATGCTGTGCAGCCGCACAAGTTGTATTCTGCTTGGCCTTATCTACACCTATCTGGCCCACCAGAACCCTGGCAGAGAGATCTTTGCAGTGCTGCCCCCTCTGCTTCTTGTCTTTGTGACTGTTTGGTGGCTGCAGTGTTTGTCAGGTGGGGACACACTCTGCTCAGGTTCCTCTAGAGAAAATATACTGGCTCAACTACACACAGAATTGCATCTGAAGTTTGTTAGTTCAGGATTTATTAATCAGTTTCGCTAATGTATGCTTAATTTGTTCATTTATTTTGTAATACAGTGGGTTAATTTTTGCTATATTGTGATGACTTCAGTTATAAACAATAAAAGAGAATGGAATTAGATACATGGTGTGACATTGTGGCAAGACCAAGAATTATATTTATAGCATTTACACTCATCTCCTGAATTGGATTAATGCTTTTTCCCTCTTACCTCAATCTTAGGTTCTATGCATTGATGAGGCCACGGCAAGTGTGGATCAAAAGACAGACCGATTACTTCAGGAAGCCATTCGCCAGCAATTTGCAGACAAAACTGTGCTAACTATTGCTCACAGGTAAAGCTTTGTTGTCTGCTTTGGTCTCTACTCTTAGAAACATGGAAACAGAGTGAGTTAGGATCCCCCAGGCCATCTAGTCTGAGCCTTGGCTCCGGCCAGCTCCACTCATGACATGCCTACCATGTGCGTGTCCAGCCTATCCTTAAACGCCTTCACCAATGGGGCCTCAACCACCTCCCATGGGAAGCCCATTCCATACCCTATGGGACCTAACCATCAGAAAGTACTTCCTGGCATCAACTCTTGCACCTGGTTCCAGTAGAAATGAACAGGGGATCATTCAGCTATTACAAATCATCTTGCCTTAGTTTTGTTTGTGTATGACACTTCCATTTCCAGCCCATTCACCTGGTAAAATGCTCTTTGCTGTGATACTTAGCACAGCAGGTGGCAGGTTCAGGAACATCACAATCCCATCGCCTTTTACCAACAAATCTGAAGTGTGTCATTATGTTTGTTAGTATTCATGCTGAAATCTTGAGAAGCAAGATAAAAGAGATCCCAATGAAATACACAGGGTCTCCCTCTATATTGTTGTTGCATACTGTCAAGTCATCTCCAACTTATGGCAACCCTGTGAATGCATGCCCTCAAATGTCCTGTCCTCACCAGCCATGCCAAGCTCAGGTCAACTCAGAGATGCTTTCCTTTATGAAGTCAATCTATCTCATGGTTGGTCTTCCTTTTCAATGATCCCTACTGTGATTCTTCCCCAGTGAGTCTTGCCTTCTTATGATGTGCCTGAAGTACAACAGCTTCAGTTTTGTCATTTTTGTTTCCATTTAGGCCAAGTATGTCCCTGTAGTTTTCTAAAAGACTGTTATTGAACCCTTGTAATTTGATCACTGGTCAGTATAGTGCAGACGTATGCAATCTTTTGTTAAGCACAGAACAAATCAGATGCCCAAAAGACAGAGTATAATGAAGTGGAATCTGCACTTCAGCACACTAAACAACTGCTTTGAGTCCAGCACCAACCGAAACCTACTTAACAGAAAGCAAACTCACTTCCTCCATCCTGTGAGTCAATTCATTCTCCCTGCTTCTTTTTCCTTCTCCCACAACCCACACATATGCATGCTTGCTTGCTCACTCTTGTTCTCTCTGTCTCTCACTCCCACACTCTCCTCACTTCAAGCACATGAAAAACAATGCTCATTTCAGGATCCCTCCAAAATCCACCCTAAGAACTTTCTCCTTCTTCCATTCAGACATGCAAGCACACCCCAGAGGTTCCCAACCTGTCAGGCTGCTCACATCCCTCATTCATTTAGTTCTCATATTTTAATACATTTTGAAATACTTATACACATCCTCCTCAGGTAGCATTTTAGGCAGACAGAGAGAGACCAGTGTTCCTTTTGTGACAACTGTGTATTGCCTAAAAGCTAAGGAAGTTTGTGTTGTATTCCAAAGCTATTGTTTGTATTCATATAGAGATTTAAGTAAAGGTAACACATTAATAAACTAACAATACAGTTAAGGTACATTCCTACGCATCTTTGGGCAAAAAAGGCCTACAACTATCTGTCTAAATGTGCACAGGACTGCTCACTTAGGGAGAATTATTAAACAGTAACTTGTAACATTCATACATTTTAAAAGTCTAATTTAATCCACACAGATACATTGTACTATCTCAGTGCATGTTAAATGAAGAGCACCAACTGAAATGTACAGTGTAGAAGGCACCATTTATATTTCTTCCTTGTTAGCACATCATGTACTGAGGCATTAGATCTTCCCTAGAGGATCTTAAGCTGTGCAAGGGTGTATTGCTCTCCTACACATTTACGAGTCTCTTCCATTAATGAGACTAACTAGGACAATTCAGATCACCCTTTTATTATCCTTGTGACTGTGTCACAAACACAAAGGAAAAGAGTTAAGCACAATGATATTCGGGGGGGGGGGGAATTATCCATCATATAGATGGGAAACACTGGCAGAGTGCAGAGTACTTATTCTGGCCATACATTGCTTCCAGTATCAGAGGCATAGTGGGTTTCAATACTGGTTGAGGAACAAGAGCAGGAGGGTGCTATTGTCCTATCCTGCTTGTGCACTTCCCTCTGGGGCATCTTTGTAGCCCATCTAGACTACCCAGGTCTTTAATCAGATTTAGCAGCCTTTTCTGACATTGTTAAGCTTTTGGAATTGTGGCAGTTGCTTAAAAGGAGCTACTCCTATGTAGCTTCTTCACCGTCTGTCAGAGTACTGTCATCAAAGAGAGGGTAGCTTTCTGGTCTGTCCACAAGCCGAAGCTTACAGGACTTGTGCTGCTGTGCTTTTTCCTTACCAGGTTGAACACCATCCTGGACTCAGACCGAGTGCTGGTGATGCATGCTGGGAAGGTGGCTGAGTTTGATTTCCCTGCCGTGCTCAGTCAAAAACAGGCCTCCTTGTTTCAGCACCTGCTGCAAAGTGGGCAGCAGTGACCTCTCTCCCGAGACTCCCAGACTTGACCATTCATACCTCACATTTGTGAATCTTCCCCTTGCCCCCACCCAGTGGAATTCCCCTCCACCTGCTGTGTACTGAATATGCACTCCATACCTGGCCAAGCATCCAGCTTATGACTTGGGAACAGGCAATAGAACATGTTCTGCCAGGGACATCAGAGGGTGGCAGTAGGAAATTCTTGCCACACCTCCAGCTGAAGCGGGTTGGATCTATGAAGAACAGTATTCCTTCTTGTATTGAAAAGTAGTTGTACATGGAAAATGGTGGCTTTTGCACAACAGCTAAGATCTTCCCATAAATGACCTGTGATTCATCAAATAAAAGTGATATAATACCTGGCTTTTTTTAAACATACAGCTAATGTTCTTCTGAGTTCTCATCTCTGTCACTTGCTGATCCTTGGATGCCTCTCCCTTTTTCTCTCATACCCAATTGTTTGCTCCAAGAGTTAGATTTCATTTTCATCTGCATATGGTGCATTTCATCAGTTTCTATGTGGGTGAACAATGCAGAGATGACAGATAAAATCCTCCCTCCCATAGTTTCACCTCTGTGCTCTTAAATTGGAAAATGAGAAAAACCTCGTGGCTTCCTCATGAAGCAGCTTGCTTAATTCAGTCTCATTCCCTGATAGAAAACATTCCTCCCTTATATAAGCAGTCTGCCTGCCTTCACTACGTACCAGATGTTCATGGCAAAATTTAATTGAAGCAACTCTTATGAAAGATACTACCTTAATGAAATTGTTGTTTCTTATTCTCTGGAGCCAGCATAGCAGGACAGCCCTATACGAAGCTGTGAAAACAGGAAAATGGTTAGGCCATGAGTGGAACAAAAGTCCTTTTCCTGGGTCTTGCTCAGAAAGACGCTCCATAGCTCCAGTCAGAATTAAGAGGGAAATATATATATATATATATATATATATATATATATATATAAACATTTTTATGCCGCCCCATTCGCCGAAGCCTCGGGGCGGCTCACAC